TGTACCTTTCATTGGCTGTGTCTACTGATACTCTGTAGTAAGACTTACCTTGGATGTACCTTTCATTGTCTGTGTATACTGATACTCTGTAGTTAGCCTCACCCTGTATCTACCTTTTATTGTCAATATACCTTTCATGTACCTTTCATTGTCTGTGCATACTGATACTCTGTAGTTAAACTTACCTTGTATGTACCTTTTATTGTCTGTGTCTACTGATACTCTGTAGTTAGACTTACCTTGTATGTACCTTTCATTGTCTGTGTCTGTTGATACTTTGTAGTTAGCCTTACCTTGTATGTACCTTTCATTGTCTGTGTATACTGATACTCTGTAGTTAAACTTACCGTATTTGTGTCTTTGATACAGTAGACATGAGCACTACGCCACTCCCCTTTACATGACAAACATCTGAAGTACCCATATTTCCGCTCCAAAGGCGGTCGTTGACCTCCTCCTCTTTGGTTTCGAAACATTTTTCCTACTAGAAAAGTTCAGCGTCAGCTCAACTTATAGCTGTTACTGTACTGATAACAAGTATTTTTCCGATTACTTCCTATCTAATAACTGTATTTTCACTTTCGCTTTAAATATCGCTATTGTTTTCATTTACTTGTTGTGTTTTATCCAAGGTAAATTAATTATTAGGTTATTTTATGTTTTGTGCCTAACAACATGAACACGGAAAACAAATATTCATATATAGCAGCATACTTACATTAATTATTCGGAAACATCAGCTAAACAGCAGTAATTGTGTTCAAAATATCAGGACTATATTTTATGGGGTAACTTTAAAGTTATAACTTAAACTGGACTATGGACCAAATATAAATACTACTTTACATATCAATAAAACTATTAAAAAAGCCACCGATATATCAGAGTTATGATAAGATCTGAATATCCGCATTATAGGTGTACATTAATTAGGAAATTGTATTCATGTTCCTGATTATACCATGTGGGTTTCCTCTGGGTACTCCGGTTTCCTCGCACATAAGGACCCTCTGCACGCTAACATCCGTGTTAATAGGAGTTATATTATTTATTACTTCAATATATTTTGAAATAAACTATTGATTATTTTGTAAATGTATATACACCAAAAAAAATAAAGAAAGAAAAAAAAGTGAAATCTAACAGGATAAGCATGTGTACTTATATAAACTATATATCCATAAAAAAGATATTTTGTGACTCTTCACAGAAAATAACAACGGGGTTTGACTTTGTAATATCATATTATTAGTTGTTGTACGGAGACGGAACAGGAATAGGATGAAAGAGGAGTTATTATTCCAAAATCATGTATCTGCATGTGGATAGGCTTGGAAGCAGTAGTGTTAGAAAAGCTGTAGAAAATATTGGGATGCTATAGACTTGTCGGAGTGTAGATTTAGGATAATGCTGATGTGAGTGCTATTCGTATTAGCATTTATACCCTTGTTGGCAAGTTCGACTTTCATAAAAACTCTGATGCACCGGAGAATTTTGACTATGCGTCAGAGCAGACTTAAGTCGAATTCGTGCCACATCCTCACTAACTTTTTGAAGTCCCCAAGCTAGTTTACAAATGTCATCAGAAACAGTTTTTGATGAATCCTCTTGTAGTGTAGTACAGAGAGAGGAAGCGAGTGTGGTTCGACTATGGTGGACACCCTGTGGGTGTTCTAGGATTTCCATAATTAATGTCTTCAAGCGTAGCATTGTATTCGGTTGGTCTTATTTGAACAGTGAGAGGAGATATTATATTAGTATGAATGCATTCTGGACCTGACCGATTTTCTGCAGAATCGACAAAGTCATATAACCATATAACTCGTCAGAGCAGAGAATTCTTCTTTATTGTTCTTCACGCTTTTTTAAAAGAACGGTGAACTACATGTACGGATATTGCTTAGATTATTCTTGTTTCGGACAGTCATAGAACAGCGTGGTCAGTGAATCACTATTTTCACATTTTCATTGCTATTTACATGCAATTCGCTTTTTGTAGCATTGACTCCAAACTCCTTCCTCTCTGATCGGGTGAGTTTATTTCCCTTTTGTGTTTCTATATCTTTCCTGTGTTTATATCCCAGCTACCAGTTTTCATATATAAAACGCATTCTGTAACAACGTTTTCATCAGACTTTTTAAGGGTAATTACGATACGTCTTTGTTGTTGTTGTCATGGCCGTATATATTTTCTGGTGGTTTCGGATAATTTCTATGTTTATGTAAAGGATGACCACCTAACCTTTTGTCGCGTTCTCATTGATTGCCATTTCTTGTTCTTTGCCTTACGTTGGAACGTTTAGTTCATTTATGGGTCCCCACATGTTTTCATCGATGTTATTCTGCTCTTGTATTTTGTCCTGTTGTCCTGTGACAATTGTATCACGTCTGTTTAGTAATGTGCGTAATACGCCCCACTTCTAATACAGTTTGGTTTGGTTTAATTTTGTTTAACGTCTTATTTACAACTAAGGTCATTTAAGGACGTGCCTCTATGTGTGAAATATATGCGTGCTTGCGTGTGTGTATGCAGGAGTCAGGGTATGTTGATATGCTTGCCTCCTTGTGAAAGCGGATCTGATGCCGACTTTATAGTGCTATCTTACTGAAATACCATGCCGAAGGCACCCAGCACAGCATTCCGGGCCAAAGGGGTTGATAGTTCTGAAGATATTGGTCTGTATGCATCTTTTTCATATAGACCTATGCCTTCACGATTCCGACATCGTTTTTTTCCAGTAAGATGTCAAGAAAAGCACTGTGCTATATATATATATATATATATATCATATGTTTACTAATAACAACACCTTTTTGTATGTGTAATAAGTCTAAAATTTCCACAAGTTGATATCAGCCCGGGTGATATCACCCCCTCTTGGAGTGATATCCCCCCCCTTGAAAAGTGATATCCCCCCCCCCCCCTTAGAAAATTGATATCACACACCCCTCCCAAATTTACGGATTTCGCCACTCCCGCCTAATGCTGTCTACTTTTAGATTGTTACTGTTTTGTTTATATACATCATTGTTTTTGTTACCATTTTTATGAATATAAATAAAATAAAGAAATATATTGTGTGTGTATGTTTTGTTTATTTTAAAGGGAAAAAAAAACATAATAAAAAGTTTATGATATGACCATTTTGATAGCACACCCCATAGCAGTCCGAGAGTCCTGATATCAGCCTTCGGCCCTCTGGCTGATATCAGGACTCTCGGGCTGATATGGGGTGTGATATCAAAATGATCATATCATAATCTCTAAATATATCACAGATGGATTGTTGCTGCTTGTATAATATACGGCGTTTACATGACAAATCCTTCTGTGATCCTTTCTTGATTATCTCTTGATGTAAAATTTAAGTGAGAATGTCAATGTAAAGATGTGACAAATATAAATATATATAGGTTTATGTAGTATAGCGAAAGAAATGTCAAGATGAAATGTAAATGGCGAGACAGTAGGGATGATAATATTGATCTGAAAATTATGGCAATTATTTACAGTTGAGGTGAAATATGATAATAAGACTGCGATGAGAATAAAAATGTGTTATATGGAAATACTTTGTATATTATATATTCAAGTAGGAATCCAACGGCTCCTAAATCCTGGTATTTCTTGCTTACATGAGCCGAGGGAATGAAATTTTGTTTCACATCGCCATACAACTATGGTCTTTTTGGCATGTAGTAGCTGGTGATATAAATATTTTCCACAATACTTAACTACGAAAGCTTTTAGTGAAGGATCTTAAGGTAATAGGATTGTGTCACCATTTCTCAGTAGAATTTCTTCAAATTTTGTAGTTTATATTGCTCTAAAGTTAAGAAAATTTTCTGCCACAAAAAAATATAGGTTGTCAGAATTTTAAGGATTTTAAATGGAAATTTATGTAAAAAGCAGTGAATTTTGAAAAAAAAATGAAAGACACAATATTTTTACAAAATAATGTCAATAAAAATGATACTGACATATATAAGTATTGCATTAATGTATATCAATTTAATAAATGCTGAAATTGTGTANTTTGAAATACTTTAATATTGAAAGAACACACTGTTCTGTCAATAATAAACATACAATATTCATCAGTTTAATATTAAACATTAGAATTTGCGGAAATTGTGATACTGTCTCCCTACATTGGATTTTCAACTAGGGATGTACTTCCTGTTCCCGTTTATCAATACACTCCAATGACCTTAAGTATCAGGAGACTCCTACTAGCAATTAAATGTTCGTTTCGAAACATTTTGGTTCTGTTGAAGACTACGCCAGACAATCGGTAAAAGGGGAGCATGCTGAACTGGATTCACTTTTAGATTTACGATTACGACTTTCCGTTTAAACTTTCCCTTTCTTGACAGTAATATCCCTACCACCCCAGCCTACCTTCAGTGTAAACATGCTGCAATTGGTTTGGTATTCAAAACTTTGTGCCGAATATAAAGATTTCCGCGATAAATGTTGACTGCTGACGGCCAAATTTACAACACAGAGTTTCCAATGACGCCGGTTAATGAAGCCTATGGACAATCTTTTTGGTGTCATAATAATGTCATAGGGAAACATGTTTTTCCTTTGTGTGATATGAAGGTCGGTGATTTTTAGCATGCTCATATGTGTGCCTTATATGGTTTTGTTGTCATTATTCAAGTTAATTTGATTTCGTCCGTATTTACATAGGCAGGTGCCGTCTTTAATTTTTCAATGATCTGCAAGTTAATATTTCCTTTGTTCATACTTTGCCATGACTTTTTCTTCGATTTTGAGTTCGAATTATGGTTTTGCCGAAACTTCAGTATTTTTTCTATCTTTTTTTTCATGGTGATTTCGCGGCAAAGATCAAGACAATCACAAGTATGACAATACCCATAGACTTCACCCGAAACAGTTTTGCGACCCGTTTTTATACTGTGAGAAAGCCCGCCCTCGTGAGTTCTAATTAATGTAAACAAGTAAAAACGAAACTGAAAATAAAATGTTCTTACAGGAAAAATGATCTGGCTCAAAGCCAACTTCCCTATACGAGATAGGATTTCGATGAGAGTAGTGTCCTCAGCATTAGAACGGACATCTAAGACATCAGCACACAAAATCACATCAAACCATGTCAGGCAAACGGCATTACGGTTATTTCCGATGTCCAAAATGTAACGCAAAATGGGAGAGTGCTCAGGTCTACAGTGTGAGCGCCAATCAGCAAGTAGGTATTGTTTTTTACTTGTCAGGCCCCTCACGTAATCATATTCATCTGAAATTCAGAGTATGAATTATTCATTTATGGGTCTCTCAAAGGAAGATTTGTGTTCTTACAATATAAATGTGTAATATGAACTCCGCAATAAAGCTATTTTGGTATCTGTTGAGTATAGCAGATAGATAGAATAGAAATTAGCACACGGGTTCACGCGAGTTATTTATAGAACACTCTGACGTCACCAATTACAGTTTCCGGTTTTCGAAAATATTCTTACTGAAAACAGATCACGGCTTTAGTTTTGCAACATCGATCACGGCTTTAGTTTTGCAACATCGATCATCGCTTTCTATGATTGGTGTCTGGGAATTACAATTTCTTCTATAGTCTGAGCCTATTGTCAGTCATTTAAACGTTATAAACAAATAATAAATTTCTTAGTTTGAATTATATGTTCTTGTGCTATTTAAACCCGTATATTTATTTGATTTAAACATATTTTATTGCAAATAAATATTTACAAAAGAATTGGACACAAGTTTTACCAACTTATTAAAGTCCTTTTCTTCAAATACATGAATATAAACAATAACTTGATAAGGTAATTTACGCAATATACATTAATTATGTTTTTATATGGAAATGGAAAATAGAGACGAAGAAAAGAAGGAGAGCGAAACGAAGTAAAGGATAGTAACTCAGATAGAGTAGATGAAAAATAGAGTGGAAGAAAAGACGGATAGAGTAATGAAGTAAATGATAGTAACACAGGTAGAGTCGGAGAAAAAAAAGAGTGATAGCGAGAGAAAGATGATCATATTCAGTCAAACCTGTTGCATTTGCTGATATAATTTTGGACAGATTTTGCAATTGAGGTATTTACATTAATGCTGAATTTAGGATCGCCATATAGGAGCAAGTCTAAAGTTAAATCATCACGAACAGGTTGAAGCTCTCTTATTAATAGATTACGATGCTGGGTGTATAAGGGACAGACACAAAGGAAGTGATAAGAGTCTTCACATGGATTACCGCATGCACATTCAGCTGTATTTGATAAATTTGCTCTAAATAGGTCATAGTTAAGGGAGCTCGCACGATTTCTCAAACGGCAATGAAGTATATTTGATTTACGGGAACCCCATACCAGAAAGCATTTATTTTGTGGTTTACCTTTTGATTTTATATTTGATTTAAATGAACTGAGAGAAGCCGAATTCCTTATAGATATATCTAGGTCATTCCACATTTTTGTAGTTGATGGGAAAAAAGAATTGCGCATTGTTTCAAGCCTAAAGTTTGGTTGTCTTAAATGTTGGGAATTTCTTAGGTTATAACGAGAAATATCCCCAATGCTATCTGGTAAGGTGTCACACAAATAATTAGGAGCTGTACCGTTTTTAATTGTAAAGAATAGGGACAATTTTCTGTTTTTCCTTCTATTACTTAGTGGAACCCAGCCAATTTCATTAAATATATGTTCAATTTTTGTGTAAATAGGTAGTCCTGTAACAATTCGTGCAGCATCTATCTGAATATTTTCAAGTTTTGATGAATTTGTCATTCCACAATTGTCCCAGACTTCACATGCATATTCTAATAATGGTCGAATGTACGTTAAATATAGTTTTTCAAGGTTATTTCTACTGAGTAACCATTTCATTTTACGAAGGGTTGCTATATATTTAGCCACTTTTTTGATAAGTTCGTCTACATGTTTATTCCATTTACCGTCGCTACTTAGTATAACTCCAAGGTGTTTGTGGCTATCTGTTAAAAGGATAGAAGTATCGTTAAAAATAAATTGGGGTTGAAAGGGTAGATTTGTATTAGAAACAATCATGATTTCGGTTTTTTTAGGATTGAAAGACATCAGCCAATTTTTAGACCATTTCTCTAGAGTTTTTAGGTCTTTATTTACTTCACTTACAATATTTTCTAGGTTTGGTGATGAGTATGAAAGCGACGTATCGTCAGCAAAAAGACGAGATAATGAGGAGAGTTCGGTTGAAATGTCGTTAATATAAATCAAGAAGAATAAAGGGCCTAACACTGAACCTTGGGGAACACCGGCGTTTATATTTCTTACAGAAGAATGGGAATCGTGAATAAAGACGGATTGCTTACGCTCAAAAAGATAGTTTGTTATCCAATTAAGAAGACTGCCTGAAATACCATGTTGTTGAAGTTTGTATAAAAGCCCTCTATGCCAAACTCGATCGAAGGCCTTTGAAAAATCACAAAAAGTAAAAGCTATATGTTCATAGTTTTCTAATGCTAACATCATAGAATGGTACATTTCAATGAGTTGATGCGTACAAGAATGATTGGGTAAGAATCCAGACTGAAGTTTGTAAATAAGATAATTAGAGTTAAAAAAGTTGTAAATATGTTTATAGACTACACGTTCAAAAATTTTTCCAACACAGCTTAATAATGATATTGGTCTATAATTCGAAGCATTATGAGCGTCGCCAGACTTAAAGATCGGCATGACGTTTGCTAATTTCCATTTATCGGGATATATACCATTGTTTAAGGAGTGATTAAAAATGAGGGAAAGGGGAATGGCAATTTCATTTGCTACAAGTTTTAACATTCGATGACTGATTCCGTCAGGCCCTGTTGCCTTATTTACATCTAGTATGTTAATAATATCAACTATTTCAGAAGGTATAATATGAATTTCGGACAAAAGAGAGTCTGTTCGTTTTTCTAAAATGGGAATAGGTTTGTTTTGGTCTACTTCGGAATGACTGGATACTGAAGAAAAATAGTTATTAAGAAGTTCACATTTATGGTTATTATCATTCGTGAATTCGTTAGCATTGTCATCAAAAAGTGGTGATATATCAGTAGTTTTGCTTCCTTTCAGTACAAACCTTAACAATTTCCAATATGTTTTGGGGTTAGATTTATTTTTGACTATGATAGAGTCGATATTTTCGTAGAAAAGTTCTTTTGCTCGTTTTATCATATTATTTGTTTTATTTCTTGATTGTTTAAATTTCGTCCTATTAAAATCATTATTATTATTTATAAGTATCTTTTTTAATCGATTTCTATTACGTATTTGTCTTCTGACAATATTATTGATCCAGGGTTTGTCATGTTGTCTAATCTGCACATATTTAGATGGTATGCATATATCTACAGCGTTAAGTATAGTGGTTGTCAGAAAATCACACATGTCATTAACGTCATTAAACATATTAAATTGGTTTACCCATGATATATTTGTGATAAAATGTTTAAGCTTTTCGATGTCTGTTTTGTCATATAGCCATACCTTTCGTTTGAAAACTGTTTGGGTTTGTTTCGGTACTTCAATTATTGTAAAAACAGCATTGTGGTCACTTATATTGTCGTCTATATTAATAACTTCACTGAAAAAAGTGTTGATTGTGTTACTGATAATTACTGGATCTAATAATGTTGCTGAATGGTCCGTTATTCTGGTAGGTTCGGTTATAATATTTGACATCTGGTACAAAGTGAGAAGGTCGAATAATTCATCTCTGGAGGATTTTAAAAAGTCAACATTTAGATCGCCCATCAAAATAACATTATCTGTAATATCGAATGCCAGGTCGAGGGAATGTTTTAGTCTCTGCCATATACCGTCAGAATAATTTAGATTAGGTGGTCTGTATAGATTTCCTATTATATGTGTAATATTATTTGAATAAACTTGTACCCATATTACTTCGTCATTAGCAAATTCTAACTCAAGTTTTCTTTTAACTACGAGAGATGGAGAATAGTATAACAATACACCCCCTCCGAACATATTCCTATCTTTTCTAAACGGTTTGTCACTAAAGCCCTGTAGCGTAATTTCTTCATTAGTAATAGAAGGATCCAAATGAGTTTCGGTTATACAAAGAATGTCGACATCGTCGGTCAATGCGTCAATGTAGCCTATTTTGTTTCGTATACTTCTAATGTTAAGATGCATAAGATTCAGTGAATGGGTTGCCGTCATATTACTAGAGTTTGGACCAGGGTTGGAATGGATATCTCCTGATGTCAGAAGAAGAAGATGGATTATCATAGGAAAGAATATGTTTACATTATTGATATAGGATTGTTGTAAAAACAAATATGATGTAAATAACCAACATTTGGCATTGACTTCAAAAATATTTAGAAAATCAGCAGGGTATGTTTTGTAAGTGTATGTTATTAAAATGTTTGCAACTTTACAGTGAAAACAGCCTATGGCAGCTCTCCACGCACCAACATCATTACCTACTAAGGAGGGTATAGATCAGATTTTGGGGGCGCGAGAAGAGCTTTCATATACGGGCAGTTTAATACAAAGCAGTTGGGGATGACTGGATGTGAGATTAGAAAAGAGAAGGGAAATGGGGTATACAAAGCAGCGGATGAGGGTAGGTAGGGAAAGCAAAAAGAAAGAAAAATGAGAAACGTTTGAATAGATATTGGGTACGTTATCTTCATTGGGAAGATGAAGTACATGTGATGATTCCCAAATATCAGCAGATAGGTTTTGCTATGAGAATGATCTATAGGCGTGAATCGGGGTGATTTTAACAGTACTATAGTGTACATATAACAGGTTGAAATGCTTAGATAACTGGGTTTTGGAACAATTGACTTCTATTAACAGGTCTAGTATTTACAAACATAAATCATAATAGTAAGATGGCATAGTGAATTAATTGTAAAAATACACACACACACACACACACACACACACACACACTTCATTACACAAGCAATCACACACATATATTACATTTTTGCATATACATAATAACATATTAGTACATGTACACGCAATACCAGGCAATATTTTGGAATGTATTAAGACTAATTTATAAGGTTAAAAGAACTAGCCATAGAGTCGGGAATACACATATATTACATTCTTGCATATAAATAATAACATACATTTTTGCATTTACATAATAACATATTAGTACATGTACACGCAATACCAGGCAACATTTTGGAATGTACTAAGACTAATTTATAAGGTTGATAGAACTATATAAGTAAGTCTAAAAACCGGCTATTCACCTGTCATCTCATTGGCATCACAAAAAATAGGTATAGAACAATATAGATATCACCATAAGGTAGTCACCACTCGAAATTCAACAAGAGGAAAATGGAGGGCGAAATAACACGTGAATGAATTAATATAGGTCAAAGGGATGCTATACTCTTATGTTATGGATACGATAAGATGACTTAAGAATTGAACTGATGTTATGAAAATGCTGAATGGTCTACCAAATCTTAAACATTGTTTATAAATGGTCATACTAAATAAAAACTATTTTAAATAGAGTATTAATCAAGCAATTTAGACTAAGAGAGGCAAGGGCGCGTAGTAAATCTATTAAGATGTATGTATTTATTTGTTTTCAAATCGGATAAAATGCTTCATTTAGATAGTTTTTGGGCAGTATTCTCATATAACTTACAAACATGGAGCATTTTTGAGGAAGAGTAATAATTGACATATCACACTGGAAACCGGAAAGACTAAACTCAACGATACATAAATCTTAATACCTGATAAACGAGACGCGACTGCACGTTAAACAAAATAACGTTCATAGTTAAGGTAAATTCCTAATTGTATTGCTTTGAGAATTTGGAGAATGTTGTAAAGTTGTCAGGACATACAATATGTATACAAATTCCTAAACAGATAACAAGGTGAGACATCAATAGGAAAAACGTGATCAGCAGAGCTGTTGGGCAAAACAAAAAGTTTCGAGATACATATAGCGTCACGGTGTGTAAACCGGACAACACAGAGATAGATATATAGACACTGACCGCACGTACTCCGTTTATCTATGACAAACTCTTATGGTGAAGACAGCGCGGACTGATTCTGTTGACTTGACAGTAATTATATTTAATAAATATCTTTATTGGGTGTCACTGTGGTCATAAGGTGAGTACATATACCAAAATATAGCCATTGGAAAGACTCTTAATAATCGTTGACAGATCGCTCTAACCCCAGACTTGTGAAAGATACATAATGCTTTGAAAAACAAAAGAAAAAAACAAATACTCCAGAGGTAATAACAATGTGATTTACATTAGGATATACATAAAGGTGCATCAACGAGGGAATATAAGGGAGATAAACGACTCATGGCGCAAATCTTACTACATAGGTATTTCTTTGAAGATGTGGGTAGGATACAGTACTCGATGTGAGGGGTTGGGGAGGGGCACACATAAAAGATATAATGCAGAGTCAAAGGCGTTGATCGTTCATCAATGAGGTAACTAGCCATAGAGTCGGGAATACACGTATATTACAGTAAGAGGAGGGTAAAAACGCGTCTATTAGTAAAATATCGGTGTGTAGTCGTGGTGTCGCGGTGTGTAAACCGGACCTCGCAGAGCTAGACACACACCACACATACTCGGTGACAAACTCTTATGATGAAGATAGAGCGAACTGGTTCAGTTTACTTTACAGTAATTATATTTAATACATATATATATATATACCGGATGAAGACCGTGCCAATGACTGAATTCTGTACATAAGTATCCCACCCGGCCACAACTAGTTGGACAGTTCATAGGTCACTGAGGCCATTGGTGAGCACATATACCAAAATGCAGCCAATGGAAAGATAATCTCCAATATTAACCGTTAAAGATACGAAGAAGCCTCTTAATAATCGTAGGCAAACCGCTCTAACCTCAGACATACTGCTATGAGAAGAAGAAAAAAATCCAGAGTTATCAACAATGAGATTTACAAAAGACATACATATATATACACATACTCTGGTATGTATTAAGGTGCATCAACGGGGAATATAAGGGAGATAAATCGACTCTTGACGCAAATCTTAGTACACCGGTATTTCTTTGAAAAAGTGGGTAGGATACAGTACTTGATGTTGGGGGTTGGGGTGGGTCAGCCATATAAGAGATACAATGCAGAGTCAAAGGCTTTGAACATTAAACTATATAAGAATTCAATAAAAAGACTTTAGGCACAAGAGTGTTAATAAGTTAATTTGCCCTAGAGTCGGCAATACCCGTTTATAACATTAAGAATGGCATTAGTGCGTCATTAATCAGAAAAATCACGGTGTGTAAACATGACCGCAAGAAAAAACCCAGCATAGTTGTGATCATACTACATTCACATATTTATCGTCTGTAATCAAATAAAATGTTACATGGCTATGTATTCTAAGCTACATCATCGCAATAATTGAGCGGTTGACTCACTTACAGACCTAAAAGTATTTTTGTGAAGAGTGATCCGTTCTGGGAAATTATCTAATTTTGATCGAAATAGAAATATTTTTATTTTTGTTATTTCCAGCCATCTTGAATGTTTCAACAAGCTCATTACTAGCATTTTAGAATTAGTCACGAGAGTGTTAGTATTATTGTCTATTTCGGGGTATGTACAGCAAACAGAAGTGTAATACTCTAGAAGAAACATTTATCTGACAGTATTACATGTTTATTTTTTGTGAGTTATTTCCATGAATATTTTATTTCTACAGGAATACTACAAACAAGATTGTAAGAACTGCCGAATCGCATGTAGTCCCTACAAAGTCGAGCCTCTCCAGTGCCCGAACTGTGGAAAGCCCGCTAAACTATGCCAGTGTCCAAAGCGTCACACAGACCCGTCAAAGGGACACCGAAGTGACCTGTGCCACAAGTGTCAATCAGGACGACCATGCTACTAATGTTGATCCACAGTCAAATGTTTCAGGTGTTATATTAATTATAAAAAAAAAAAAATGTATTCAAAATAACATGGAATACGACGACGGTTAATTACGAAAACTTCGAGATCTTTGTATAGTTGTAGATTTTTCAATAACGTGACTAGAGTTTATCAAAGAGAACTTGTATCTTATCTATAATGTTTTATGCCTGTAAACGGCTGTGGAAAAAAATAATTGAATTCGGATTTTCAATCTATAAAAATTCAAAAATCATCACTATTTTTACTTATATATGTAGATGACAAGCCATTTTATTTTAATTATGTTGATTTTACTTATTGCATGGTTAGCTTAACGACAAATTAACACAAAATTGTAACCACACATATCTTCAAAAATAACTAAATTCGAAACTAAAAGATTGTGTAAAAAGACTAAAATAAAATCATCTTATGACAATAAACAAGTATTTGAAATTAAATCTTAAGGAAGCATATACATGTAATATTTTACCTGCAGAGTGCAAAGAAGGTTGTTTTATGAACTTAAAAAAATATCTTAAGTACTGTAGGTGATGTTTTATACAATTATAATTTATTGTATATTTAATAACCTCTTGACCAAATGTAAGACGAGACGTTGACTCAACTTTGTCATCAAGTATAAATAAAAAAACAAATTAAAACTTGTTTTAATGTAATGTATGCAGTCAGACTTTCTATGCTTTTGCATAACTTCTTTTACTTGCGGAAGGAGGTATGTTGGCGTATGAGTGATGTGGTCCGACCGGTTACATGTGCGCATTGGTATGTTGCGAAATTTAGATCATTATAAAAACAAATGACGCAGCAGCTCCTATTCAGAAGTTGATAAAAGAAGATGGCGAAACAAGTTTCGTACGGTTAAGGTCAATTTTATTTCAACTTGACAAAGTTTTGTATTGTTTTATCTGAACACAGATTGTAGTATATAAAAGACAAATTTGTCCCACCGCCATCCCCTACTTTCCTCCTTTCTGAATCTGCATAAGTTAATGTATTGGTGTACAACATTTTCTTTTGCGACTTAAGTAATGTATCGATGTTATATCATGTATTTTGTGTGTAAAAATAATGTATTCTAACAAGCATTAATATTTCGTCAAGTATATTGTGTATGGCGGAATAGGACCCCCATCTAAGACTCTTTGTGTCTATTTATATGACAAATTGTGAATGTCATAACAACCGTCGTGTATTGTAATAAACGGCCATATTCAATTCAGATTTTGTGTCCTTGTTTTATTTCATTATGATTAGTCTTACAAGCTTGCCATGGTGGTGTCCTGTATAAAGACTATTATTATATATTAATAAGCCAAATAGAACATTCGAGCCCGAGTCTTGCGAATCAAAGGCCTATTCAAAGGGCCTGATGGTCGACTCTTTCGTGGAGATGATTGTTTATGAGTGTGTGTAAGGGGAGGAGGGAGGGTCAACGTGATTTTGGTTATGTTTTTTTCAATGTCTCAGCCTTTTCTGTTTTCACCTTGTATATAGCATTGTGCGTGCGTGTATGTGCTAGTTATTAGTAACAAGACCCAGATTCTCGCCACAATCAGGCTGTTACTTTTTCCTCTGTACTGGGTTTGCGATGTGAGAGGATTATTTAGAGATGAATCAAAACAACTTCACCCTTTAATTTTTCATTTTATTTCCGGAAACAGGAAGTAAACAATAAAACATGGAAACAAGAGACGGAGACGGAATACCATAATACACAAACGGTTAATTCCGGATATTCTATTGATGGTTATAATATAATATATACCATGAATATAACACCTCCCTACTGCATTAATATGAAACACTTACACTAGGTACACACACATACTGATAGGTAATCTTATCTGCATCGTCATTATTAGATAATTAAATGTGTGCTTTACTGGACGTTCAACCATGCATATCATGTAACTCAATTTATATGTGATAATAACTTTATCTGGTTGTCCAAAAATAGCCCATCCTAGGTCGAACATAGTCATGCAGCCGCTATACACTATGCTATGATTTATTGTGAGAGCTACTTTCTATGTATTTAACATAGGAAGTTTAAGATTCTTAAAATTCATTTAAGTTGTTAAGAACGCCTAATTGCCTACTTGACGGTTGTTGAGTGTTTGTGTTATATTTATAAATAAATACCAATTGTAAAATTTGGACCGCAAAGAATTGTTATCATGAGAAGGAAGTTCTTTGTTTAGCGGTCCTTCTGCGTAAGATAAACTTGACAACGACGAGTGAATCGAAAAGGAAATTATATGTGACTTACAGATATATGTCTAGTTTCTGTTTAAAAAATGAATAATACAAAATTACTCAAGATGATCGTTTTTCATGTTTTAAAGGGCCCTAAAGGGCCTGGGTTTTTTTCATTTTAGAGGGTCCAATACGCTTTCATAGAGCGACACCTCCGGCGGCACTTCACGGACACGTTCCAATGGACGCCATTCCTTTTGGACAGCTACTACTAGATACATGTTTCAAAACTTCAATCTATATTTTCGTTGCAATGCATAAATGAACTTTTATACGTGCCTAGTATAGAAAATATTCATGGAATGTGTGTAACTTGTAAAACTGTTGTTACGTCATTTCCAGGATGCAAGTTTCCGGAACAAAGGTTATACGATTTGGCAGTCACGTGGTACATTATGGAGCATTACTAGTATATACTTCCGGAGAAAAAGTAAATCAGTAGCAAGCCAAGTTCATCGAAGTGCAAGATTGTTATTGAAATCTGGTGTCCCGTGTTTCTGTGTTTACCGGAATCACACATGCCCCATATCACGTGACTTGCGTATCTATCAATTGTCTAGAAAAAGACAGTAAATCACAAAGCATGTACAGTGTCGGGGGCACGGTAGTCTATTGGTAGGGCGCCGGGCTCGTGACCGAAGGGTTGCGGGTTCGCGTCACGGCACAGATGTGTGTTGTATCCTTGAGCAAGATACTTTACTCCGCTTGTTCCAGTGTACTCAGCTGGAAATGAGTACGTGGTTGGGTAGTGCTAGAATTGTAGAATGCTAGCTGTGAGCACCGAAATGGCAGCACCAGCTGTATGATCCCCAGAGAGTTGGGGAAAATATTAGTTGGTTGCAAAGGCCCTATAACCACGGATAATGTTCTCAATGTAAAAAAATCAGCTAGGCTAGTCGGATATTAGAACACTAGAGCTTAGAACTCTTTACAACCAACCAATAGTCGACAACCAGGAGGTTCAGTTCTAGTGTAGGGTATCGTAGAAATATAAAAAGGTGTTTATGTCGCTTTAATGATTCACAGAGAACTACGTGAGGAAACCGAGGTATGGCCAACCAGTGCAGGAGCAGTGACGGTCGTTCAGCTCCTGCATGTGTTCTATTTGCGCGTGTGAACATAGATGGAATTCCAACTACCGATACTAGTGTTATAATTCCGATACAAATGACCTCGATTGGACGAGAAGATATTTTAGATAGTAAGGTACTCTTATCATGTACCATCCTTTTTTAGAAGAGGATGATAACTGCAATACATAACATGACATGCAATGGTCAAGTTTAAGTCATTCGGATGTATCAATTCAAATACACTGTACATACTTTGCGATCTAACGTCTTTTTTGATACAATTGATACGCAAGTCACGTGATATGGAACATGTGTGATTCTGGTAAACATATTTTATAAATTATAGGATCGACATTGATCCTTAAATAGCTCGCTTCCCATAGAAAGGGTCTATTGGCAATCGGGATTCGTCGGCAATTTCCGTAAATGAGAAAATACACAGTATAATGTATTTTTCTCGTTTACGGTAGGTGCCGACGGTTCCCGATTGTATTTTCTCGTTTACGGAAAGTGCCGACGGTTCCCGATTGAGTCCACTGACACTAGCGTTGTTGTCAGCCCATAGCGTAAAAAAATGACGTCGCCGTTTGTAACGTCGCTTTTGATTGGCTGATACAGCAGCGCAATAATTTAATAGAAAAGAGTCCATCAATAAAAGTAAATTTCCACAGGGATTGCGTATAGTAGATTAAATTATAAGGATTAACTTAATATATTTTTCATGTTATGGAGCTATAACACAAAAAACCGGAGTGTAGTCTCATCATAAAGCACTTCGCGGTTTATTTAGAGTACACTCCGTTGTTTGTGTTATATCTCCATAACATAAAAAATATATTCAAGTTAATCCTTAAATAACACACAACGTTTATGTAGTCGTAATAAACATGCTTATGACATTTCAGAAATTATGTTTAGTAGTTTAGAAGTTATGGTCCGGATCGTTCTGATCAAATATGTCTAAAAATATCTCGGTGTTGCTTAATGATAAAGAGTATACAACTAACGTGACATGTTTACAAGTTTTATTGTTATACATGCTTTGTAATGTACATCACTACATAACTTCCACACTGTACAATGTCAGCTATAGCAGACCCGGACTTCACTAATGCTGTACCATATCTTGTTGTTCTGTACATCAGTGAGTACGAGTGCTATTGCCGTTAATCTTTTATGTTCTATAAAATTGTTACAATAAATATATCTATATATACAGGACAACAGTGCGTAAATAAATAAAATTTTATAAAAATAACAACGCAATTGAGAATGTGGAAAGAACGAACTGTTTTCAATATATACAGAATCCTTCCCATTCCACCTTCCCTTCTCAATATCCCTCCCCATCTATACCCTCACCCCCTGTCCCCATCCAAAAACCCCCGACCCTATTCATTTTTCTTATCTTCCATACGTTATATTTCTTCCCTATATGGGCTATCCCTCTATTCCACAGGGACTTGATGATTTGTTACTGTTCTTTTCGATACACAACCGACATGTCGAACTCCTTAAATCATTTGCATGCATTTGCAAAAAAAATGTTTTCACATAAAAAACCGATCCAAACCAAATATGCTTGTGATAACATTTGGTTATTGTCGGACTTGAATCGTTTGCACCAAACTTGCCATGAACACAATGCCACCAAAGTCATGGCATCCACATTTGCAGGAGATAGGCCATTGGCCTCGAAAAAAACCCAGTTGGGGGTCTACTACTGAGCATAGTATGTATATAGTAGACCCCCTCCCCAGATATTTGTGGTACACACTAGTTGATTTGAATTTAATAATGTTGCTAAGTCGTGAACACAACAGCTCAAGATGAAATACGACAACAGTACGACATAAAAAAAACCCACCACAACACATGATAAACTTGTACTTCATGTGCATAATACTGTGCACATATGAAATTCGGAATGCCCAAATATTCTGGGATACGGCATTCAAATTTGGAACAAATCCTGACATCTGTTGCAGTAGAATTAGTGGATGAATATATTGATATAATCAATGAAGATGAATACCACACAGCACTTTCCTGATTTTCGCACGGCTATATATGTAATGTTTATCTCTAGTATACTTCAAACACGCCAATTCCGCAAAACACTAACACCGGAAGTAGAATTACAATAGTTACATAACTTCCTGTTAAATGTGATGCCATGCTACTGTCCGTGCCATCGTAGTCATTGTAGTAATAAGCATAATCTTTGTCCGTGTCAAACGTTCGCAGGTTCATACTCTTTCCGTCGATCACGTCGGGGATTATCTCGATGTCCTTGCCCTTAAAAGGATCGATCTTTTTACTGTGGTCCACCAGACCTTCATCTTCTGCAAAATAAATTAGAATATTGAACTTCAGTTTCGTTACAGCCGGTTTGACTCACAGGGACATGTCACATACTATATATAACGAAATATATCATGCAATTTCACGTACAATACATTGTATAGTACATGTACGCATTGTATCATTATTTGTGCGCAGTATATCATTATCAGTACGCGGCGCGTATCATAATCGGTGTGCTACCTATTTCACTGCTGTGAAGTTTTTCAAGAAAGATGACTCTTATATACAATTACTGTGCGTATATGGTTTTATTATAAAATGTCAATTTTTAATCGTTTATAGATAATTTATTTTACACAATTTCAGCATTTATTAAATTGATATACATTAATTCAATACTAATCTATGGCAATATTGACATTGTTTTGCCAAAAAATGTGTCTGTAATTATTTTTTCCAAATTCACTCCTTTTTACATAAATTTCCATTTAGAATCCTTAAAACTCTTACAAGCTATATTTTTTTGTGGCAGAACATGTTCTTTACTTCAAAGCAATATACCTACAAAATTTAAAGAAATTCTACTGAGAAATGGTGACACAAACCTATTACCTTAACACGCGCTGTTTGTACCCGGTGTATCATTGTTTGTACGCAGGTAACATTGTTTGAATGCGATGTAGTATCATTTGTACGCGGAGTATCACTATTTGTATGCGAGTATCATTGCTTGATGCAGTATTTCATTACGTGAACACGTTTCACTTTACTTTTACACGGCATATTGGTAAGAAACAATGACATTCAATATGACTCAACTAAACCATTAGACTGTCATGTTAAGATAGCCAACAAGAATTGTGAAGAAAAGATAAGATTGAAACAGTTACTCACCACAGCCGGGGTATATACGGGGAATACAGTACATGTAGCCATCGAAACACCGACACAAGTCACAGTCCGACCGGATGAAGTGACCACTCTTCAGCTCGCCACAACTACGATTCTTATACTCGTACTGGCAGTAACGGCCGTAGAAGTTCCTATAAGAATTAAAAATAAACTTAAGTTAAATTCAATTATCTTAAATTGGTTAATCATAGTATGTTAATAGATTAACATATTTGTGCAGTGTGATATTAAATATTTTGATTGATGTTATGAACATTTATAACTTTACTCAAAACCCTTTCTATGCTCTGTCCTAAATATTTGGCATCGCGTGACATTCTACAGTTTAGCCTAGAATATGACTTATTATCACTTTTTGGAGTTAGATGGTGGTTGTACCTTTTGGGCGCTTATGTTTTTTTTCTACATTTTGATCTTGAAAGACCCTTTTCGTTTTGAATTTGAATATCCCTTTCCTTTCGACCGATCAGTTGCTCACGTGTTATGAAAAAATCAAACAATAAGGACGCTTCATACCAATAAGTCGCTTTTTAATGATACAACCAAATGATAAAGGCACTTACTTTCGACAGTGACAAAAGTTGTTCAGAATGCAACGTCCTCCATTCTTACAGCAGTTTCCGGTTTTAACCGTGTTGTCTGTTGCACCTGTAATGATCAAACAAACACTTAAACCTTTAAAATACATGATATACATAAAAAGCATTACTTAAACTCCCTCGATTAACAATTATCGCTATCTTAATACTGGTTGTTATCGTTTAGAGGGAAGCAATTAAAGATAAAGGCGTATTTTTAAACGTTAGTGTATTCGTTTCCAATATTGCTGCCGATGCTGCTGCTGCTGCTGATGATGTAATGTTAAAAATCACTTCCCCTGAAATTTCGCTGCATGTTTTTACAGATTTGTGTATAACTGATCGTCAAATAATGAAGACGACGATGACGACGATGGCGGAATGAAGGGCGTCGTGTGTGACTCATAACCCTATTGGCCGAATGGTCGCACAGCGTTAGTGGTGAAAATCACAGGGACTTGAGAGTTTGTTACAGCTTCATTCAGGCCCAAACTAAGGTGTTGGGAGTAATTTAGCACGTTTTAGGGGTTACGATCAACATTTGGTAAAAATGCCACCCCAATAGTTCTCGATGTCGAAAAATCGACCCCACCTAACTTTCTTGCATCAAAAACCACATTCATAGTTGATGTAACAAAAATATGCTTAGTACCATTGGGAAAACAATCTTAACCCTGTAAAATTGGTCTCAACACCTTAGTTAAGGTCCAAATATAGCTGTAACAAATTGTAAGTCCTCATGGTAAAAATGTCTGAAGAACATCACTACGAAATTCGAACAGCCAATAATTATGTTTCTTCCCTGAAATGGCAATAAATAATTTTTAAAAAATGAAAGTTTTCGGCCTTTTTAAACGTGTCATTTTTTAAAAGCACGTCGACAAGCCACAGACCAAAAGGGAATCGTCGGCATTTAACCGAAACGAGGGTCACGGACGCGTATCTCCTCTCGTGTCTCCCTCTCCAGACAACGTAGGAACGGTACAATGTTTAGATGATAAATCCCCAGCCTAGCTGTAGATTACCCAGACCATGCCAGCTTTGATGTCCGAGTCTTTAAGTGGATTATGTGGACTCAACAGCTTACGTTAATGTCTCTACTTAACACGAGTGTTTGTAAACTTGGCTTTCACACGTAGATAAATCTATCGAGAAATCATAATAGATTATTTTGAAATTTGATTGGCAGTTTTTTCTTAAAAACTTTTGTATTTCTGAACTTCAAATGGAGAAATTATATAACCACATCTGTATAAATGTAAATTGATTTCATTAATATGGTCTCCGGTGTTTATATCCAGGTTTACGTGTAGTAATCTTCATGTAACGCATAATTTGTACATTTTATTCTGATAATTAAACACCTCAACTCCACCCCCTCCCCCTAATTAAATTGAAAATTAAAAGAAATTGACGCATTCAGTGTTTCAATGCTGATTACACATGCAATATACACTTAACATACCATTTCCGAGCAGGGAGATGCGCTCTACCTCGTTATGCTGGGGGCTAGATTGTCCTGCTTCGTTAAGGGGTTTCGCTTGTCCATTTTTTTTCTTCAATGTGACTTTATTTTTCTCGTTGTCTGAAAAATATGAAATCATCCATCAGAGAACAATTAACACTACACACGATATTATTGATTTTAAAGTATGATGTTAGCAACAACAGTGCGTGCCCTGAACTGTGATAAATATGAACTGTTAATGACAATAACAAGCGAAAAACATTCGAAATGTACACCAATAGTGTTTAATACGACAGGTGACACTTTCCATGGTATACGTTCGTTGTACACGTTATATTGTGTGCTCGTGGTACACGTTATATTGTGTGCTCATTGTACAAGTTATATTGTGTGCTCGTGGTACACGTTATATTGTGTGTTCATGGTACATGTTATATTGTGTGCTCGTGGTACACGTTATATTGTTTGTTCGTCGTACACGTGACACTATCTATCGTACACGTTATATAAACTGTGTTTATGGTACACGTTATAGACTGTGTGCCCATAGTAGACGTTTTACTTCTAGTTCATAGAAATGTTTTTTAAATTAATTGAGCCGTTTGTGTTAATAGAAACGTTACATAGAACAGACCCATGTATCTTTTTCTTCATACGAGTAGAAACGTTAACGCTAGAACCAGTGTCATAATGAGGTCGTTTTTTTGTTCAGGGGATTCAGAGAAATATTTCAAATTTGCAAAATAAATAACCTAACAACTATGTTCAGAAAGTTTGATATATAACGTTGAAGACTAACGAGATTTCTTGGTAAAATACAGGTTGGCATATTGGATTGATTTGTATTTTCTCTACAACATTCTACAGCCTATTACGATATGGGCTTAACATTAAGATTAAGTTAATTGAAGAAAATGGTATTTTATATTGAAGTTGAGATATGCACTCGTACCTAAGCCATTGACAGGTGGTGATATTAATGTATTTTGTGTTTACAGACCGCGGCCGGACAAAGCGTCGGCATGGCTGTTATCACCAACCCTAGAAAATTGGGGGGTCGTTATCAGACATGTATAAGATCTTCTCGCGGACGAGACACGCCAATTGCCTCCAATTGCTCGACTGTCGCAAACGGGAGACAAACTCTTCAGAAGAGGGGACGCTCTCACATTCTTTAATAACCCTTGAGATATAGCGTTGTTATGTTAATGTTATCGACTATGAGTTTCTTAGTCACTTGCACACCTTGCAAAAATCTATGGTATGTTATTATAATTTGAAATTTTCCCTGCACGTACCGGAAAAAAATATGAACGGTTCATATTATTCAGTTTGGTAATGGATAATTATATTAATTAAAATCCCTAAACATTTGATTAATAAAATGAATACCTTTTCCTGGATTATTGAAATCTGATACATAAGTCAAGAAGGGCGACAAACAGCACTTTGAATATCTACCTGTCAAACATTTATTTACAGAGGATAACGTGTAAGACTCTGTTGGCCCTGTCCTGATATCCATGTACTTAGGGTCGAACCCAGGACAAAGCCCTTAAGTCGTTAACGAGTGAAATCAGATTTACTGAACAACTCTGACTAATAACCCTATTGTTCCCCGTGAGGACTTGTCAATTAGCTCCCTTTCTTGGGCTGGTCAAATAAGGGGAGTCTTGACGGCCCCATGCGCGTCAAAACATCTCCACGTGGACGTAAATACATTCTCACGACAGGCCTCCCTATTCTTTACACCTATAAACACATTACCTTAAATAAACAAAACTGCATGTGTGATGTTAAGAAATGGATACCTGCATAGAGTAATTCAATTTTTGACTGAGACAAAGGAATTATTTATAACACGGTTTTATACTTACAACAATTATATATGTATATATACTTACCGGTTATATATGTTCCACCGACCATTGAGTTGATTGCAATAATAACCTGGAGACACCTGTAAAAACAAGCAGGTAAAATTCAAATATAGAGCTATATTTTACATGTACCTATATCATGATAAACCTTTATCAAGCTTGAAATATACATGACTTTATAAAGAATGAACCAAAATATTAGGAAATGGAACTACTGTCTTTATCCTGATGTACGCATAAGTACTGACCTTAAAATTAAATACTTTGTGCAACCTATAGAAGATGTGCAATATTTCATTTCGATCTGTACACAACTATATAAAAAAAAAATGGACCAAAGTACTAAGAAATGGAAATTTATCTTAATTCACGTAGAACGTGAAAATAATTTTCTTTGTGAAATCTATAGCAGGTGTATATTTGCTATTTTGAATGGTTAATAATCGAAGTGAAATTGAAAAAGGGGCGTGGGTAATAGTGGTATCAGTAATAAATGAAAGCTTGACAAATTGACACATCTCTTTATTATCAAATCTTTAGTTTAGATTTAGTCCTGTCCACTATTTTATGTACCGGAGGAATCTTAATATTTATTAAAGTATTGTTTTCACTTAATTATATAGCAATTATACTTATAATTATCATGTATTGTCTCTGACGTAAAGATTTGATAATAAAGAGATGTGGCAATTTGTCAAGCTTTCATTTATTACTGATACCACTATTACTTAGCGTTATTAAAAGTGATATCACGAACAACCTGTTAATTAAGTGTGTTAATTAATTAAGATTTATTCCATTTCCTCCGTGACCACAACTCAGTGTGATTTAGTCTTTTCTACTCTTATATGTACCGGAGGAATCTTAATATTTATTAAAGTATTGTTTTCACTTCATTATATATCAATTCATTACAACATCATGGTTAAAATACTTCCAAACTGTTTTAATGTATGTATATGAACCATTGTTATTTTTGTAGATCCTTGTATATGCAATGCATTTATGACACAAAGGCATTTGTGCCTATTGCTGAATAAAGAACACGATGTCTATATCAAGTAGTAACAAATATATATAGTATACATGTTTGTAATAATTATGTTAATATCAAATACGTAAGAAAGTAATGAATTATTAAAATTGAATCCTTGTTATTGATAAAAAGCAGTTCTAAATATTTATAGTATGCATATTTGTAATAATTATGTTAATATCAAATACATCAGAATGTTACAAATTATTAAAATACTATACTTACATGATTATGGCGTTTTTAAACTCCATCGTAGTAAAAAAAATATCCGACTAGGGGAATAGGCGAATCAAGCTGTCGTATGTTATAGATATCCAAGTCAGAACACAAGACTAAATCTATTGTACCGAACAGTGTCACAGTCGCTTCGGAATTAACACTTTTCCATGAGGTCCACACAACACATGTGTTCAAAATATAAATAGCTCAGGAACCGTCAACAATGCATTTGATTGGCTGTTAGGAGGGACACGTGCTACCATAAACATGCCAAGGCAGTTAGCTTACCTGGTGATCTCTCACCTCTATCTACCTGAGCACCTGGCTGTCATTTAGGAGTACAGGTCGCTAATTAGATCAAACAGCACACTCAATAAAGGTGTCGGTTTTAAAAATGTCAACATTTTCTAATTGTACTCGTGAAATTATCAATCAATTGAATAAAGTTTTAACAGTCTATATTGTAATCTGGAAGTTAATATCACTGTCACTAACGTCAGGTATACAATCGTATTTACAACACTATGGCAGTGTATTTTATTGTTATTGGCTGTTCTACTAGATTGTGTTTATTCGTGAAGTAATATACTGTACTATTTGTATGTCAGTGTAATCTACACTCCGATGTGTCTTACACAAGGAAAAAAAATCTGAAAGAAATATTTCTGTACAGCGTTACGCGAATAAGTAGTGACAGAATGGCATGCCCCGTTTACATGCAATTAACGGGGACCAATAAACAACTGCGCAGAACAATTAGGTGTTGTGTTCATCTTTATTTTTGTTTAAACTTTATTTTATTTCACAATAACATTTCATAACATATATTTATGCAACAAGGATTCAGAAAAAAAGTTTGAAACTTATGTAAATCTATCTCATTTGAAAAGTTCACAAGCAGGCAGCCGCTGATCAGATATAGAAAAAGGGGAAAGAAGAAAAGTAATACAGAAAGTAAGTAGAATCAGGGATACAGGAACGAGCAGATTAATATAATCATTTGAGATACATTTCTGTTGACAGTGACATACGGGTATCTTAATAGAATATGAATAATATTATACTGTATTGTATACACTTGTTTGTTCAGAACCAGAATAGCCTGATGGCAAGATGGCAAGCTATTCTTATGTAGATTATCAATAGGATATTACATATTCAATAGCAGTGACAGTCATTTCTACTTTTTATCCTGATATTTCAAAATATTGGAGAGAGCATTGCTTTCTCAATCTTATAAAATCATATATAGATATCACAAAAATATATAGATATCACGGAAATATATAGATATCACAAAAATATATAGATATCACAAAAATATATAGATATCACGGAAATAAACAGACATAACATAAAATAGATAATTTATATTAAATATCACATATCATAAATCGATATCACATAAAAATATATCTGCATATTCAGGTGCTTTCAAACAACCGCGTGGTTGACCTTTGGAACACTAGGAACAAATAAGTGTATGTGGGTTGCAGCTAATTGAACAAGCGTATGAGAAGTCACACATACTCAGTAGTAATGACGTTGGTCTGGAGGGGGTTGACTCTGGGTAGTTATGACGTTAATCAGGAGGGGTTGACTCTTGGTAGTTATGTACAGTTGTTTGTTTAGAACCAAAATATTTCATAATATTGGAGAGAGTATTGCTTTCTCAATCTTAATAAAATCGTGGTTGACCTTTGGAACACCAGAAACAAATTAAGTGTATGTGGGTTGCAGCTAATTGAACAAGCGTATGAGAAGTCACACATACTCGGTAGTAATGACGTTGGTCTGGAGGGGGTTGACTCTGGGTAGTTATGACGTTGGTCTGAGGGGGGTTTGGGGTATTGACTCTGGGTAGTGAATTGTTACGTTGATCGGGAGGGGGATTGACTCTTGGTAGTTATGTACAGTTGTTTGTTCAGAACCAGAAGATTTCATAATATTGGAGAGAGCATTGCTTTCTAAATCATATATAGATATCACATAAAAATATATCTGCATATTCAGGTGCTGTCAGACAACCACGTGGTTGACATCTCTGGAACACCAGGAACAAGTTAAGTGTATGTGGGTTGCAGCTAATTGAACAAGCGTGTGAGAAGCCACACACAAAGATGTGACTCCGCAAAGTTTCTACTCGGTAGTTATGACGTTGATCGAGAAGGGGTTGACTCTGTGTAGTTATGACGTTGATCGGAAGGGGGTTGGCTCTGGGTAGTTATGACGTTGATCGGAAGGGGGTTGACTCTGGGTAGTAATGGCGTTGGTCGGGAGGGGGGTTGACTCTGGGTAGTAATGGCGTTGGTCGGGAGGGGGGTTGATTCAGGGTAGCTATGACGTTGATCGGGGATGAGTGGGTGGGTTTGTTAGGGGGGGGGGACTCTGGATAGTTTATTGCGACGTTGGTCGGGAGGGGGGTTGACTCTGGGTAGTAATGAAGTTGATCGGAAGGGGGTTGACTCTGGGTAGTTTTGACGTTGGTCTGGGGGGGTCTAGGTAGTTATGACGTTGATCGAGAAGGGGTTGACTCTGGGTAGTTATGACGTTTATCGGGAAGGGGTTAACTGTGGGTAGTTATGACGTTGGTTGGGAGGGGGCTGACTCTGGGTAGTTATGACGTTGGTCGGGGGATTGACTCTGGGTAGTTATGACGTTGGTCTGAGGAGGGGTTTGGGGGATTGACTTTGGGTAGTTAATTGTTACGTTGATCGGGAGGGTTGACTCTTGGTAGCTATGAAGTTGATCGGGAGGGGGTTGACTGTGGGAAGTTATGACATTGGTCGGGAGGGAGGTTTGACTCTGTGTAGTAATGACGCTGGTCGAGGGGATGGTTAGACTCTGGGTAGTTTTTCCTTAGCACCGTCGTCTCCATTTTGTTGTTACTTGACCGCTAAGCGTTGACCGTCGGTTAAAAATGAAGCTAAGCGTTGACTATAGATTGATTATGACAATGTGTTGACCTGTACGGCATAGCGGTACCGTGAATCGTGTAGTGGTGACCACTGTAAGCTTTTTTTTCTATAAGGTTGTCTGCATTAATTTATCAAATCAATTGTCTGTATAGTGTATATCCTGTACTGTATATCTTACGTTTAGTGGTTTATTTCATTTATCTAAACTTTACGGAACCTCATGCTAAATAACTCAATTCAAACATGGATTAACCTTTCAACATTTAGCGTACAGTCCTATTATAAAATGGGATTCACAAGTTTCCATTGTAATTGTAAGTGGACTAGACTAAAGATATTATTTTACATTATAAAACTTTCTTGAAACATGTTAATCTTTCAAATGACACCAATTAAAAAGTTGCCTTTCTTACATATTTTACTAGCATACATGTTTTACTAATTGATATGGAGATCAATACTCTGTAGACTAGTCGCATATAATTACACACACAGGGACCTGAGAATTTGTTACAGATAAAATAATGTGTTCAGACACGGACTTAGATAGAATAATCTAATTCCGTGGGTCAGAGTAATTTTACACGCTTTATGGATGCCAGTTTTACCGAAAGTTGATCTAAACCCCTTAAACGTGAAAAATTACTCGGAACACCTTAGTTTAACTCAAAATAAATGTAACAAATTTACATGTCCCTACTTACAATAATGTGAGTTACTCCCCTTGTTTATAGTTCTCCTCTGTGTTTGTATTATGGCGGCCGATTAGAACAAGAATCGACACGATGTGAAAGAAAAACATTGGGATTTGTAAGTGATCTTCCGTCTCATTTGCTACCATTTCGCAGTCATCTTTCACATTATCAACAAATAATATTAGGTTGCCAAAACTAAACGAACTAAAAATCATTTGCAACATATGTAAGTGATCAATAAAATTTGAACAGTTGAGGAACATTTCAACATCACTGTAGCTATAGCCTACTGTAACGTTACCATTGCATTGCAGTGGGTAGGGTATATCAAGAGAGTAGAATCATTGACGCCTTACACAGACAGGGATCTTTTGTTTTATTCAATAAGGAGTCCAAATATAACGCATTTAGACTAGATACCAGACATTGAGAAACAAACAAAATTCGAGAAGAGACTTCCAAATGCCATTGGAGCTAGCTATAGCTATAGCCTCGTCTGTTAATACACCCATAATTATAATATATATATATATATATATATTATACTCCACAGAGACCAAAATGGCTTTAATGCCATTAATAATGATACTATGGGTGTATTGACAGGCGATGCTAGTACCTGTGATTGGAGCAGAAACTACCATTGGAGGTGCTATGCGTTGCTTCACCTGCCTATACACTACAACAAATATTAGGACCAGGTAATGTATATCATTGTAACACTGATCTGTTCAAAGACCCATTTAACCATGCACCACCACTGACTGGAATAACCTCCCAATAAATCTGGTTAAACCTCCTGTACACTCTGGGATCCTCTAACCCTGGAATCCAATCATACTGTCAGAAAGCTTGTTGGTAATCATTTATATACATATTTTTTAATGTCCACTGATTTGATCATGAGCATCCTCTGAATACTGATGAAAAAAATACTCAGACACCTTTTTGCACACTCAGTGGTGTATATGTATCTATAGGTAAAAACTAAAGCCATATAAAGGGGCACATCAACTTTCTGAGATGTGGCTTACATAATTAATATTAAGTCATCTGATTATAAAGGACATAAATATATCATTATGTTCATTGTGTACATCACAATAACAACTGCATATGTTTATGTGTGTGTGGTTGTCTAACCACTAGCTCAGAGTATGACAGATCATGTACAGTTACATAGACCTATAGCTATATCTATAGCATCTTATACATATCATGTAGTTAGACAATAGTCCAAATTATCTGACTCTTAAAATTGTTTTGATGGATTAGAGATCATCGAGAAATGATATCTTCGTCTATGAAAAATTTAAGGGGAGATATTCAGGAAAAGTATTTTACTTGAAGATACTGTAGGAAGAATATACACCACACATGTACAGTCAAGTTCAAAATGTACTTAAAGACATATCAATCTGATATAATATAAAGAGGATTGTTTTGTAGGATACTCATTGCTTAGCAAAGAAAGGGAAGATGGATATCAAGCTTGAGGTACTAGCCTCAAGTAGCATAAAGCGAAATAAACCATGGCCTAAAATTCAATGGGTCGGACAGGTGAGTTTGTTTATATTAACGTACACATGTTATCAGTCCTGACATTTAGAGTAAAACTAGAATCAGTTTGAATTATTCAGAAAGGAGGAAGACTACTTTTATAATTGTAGAAAATTATTTTTCTAGATAATAATTGTTGGAATCAGACAAAAATCATCTTGTCTACATTCCATAATCACCAAACACACTAATATCATGTGAATTTTATGCAATATATTTAAAAAGATCTCAAAGACCTCTAATATAAACAATGTTCAAACTGCCAGGAGAGCTATCTTAGACAATCTTGAGGCACTAATTAATTATTTTATTAATAATTATTTGGTAAAACTTGAATTTGAATGAAACAGTTTTGAAATGAATTTTTATAATACAATGCAGCTATGATGCAATATTGTTTGTTGCCAAGTTGTTATGGTAACAGTTCTGTAAGGATAACACATTGTGAGATTAATACATGGTACAATCTGGCCGAGGGTTTTTTCCTGTCCTACTACATTTGGAGCCTGTGATCATGACTAACCCTTGTTTTAAGTATGTATACTTGGGGAATGATATAGGCAAGGGGATACCCAAACATGTAAATAGTGTTGACTTGTCTTTGGGGTGAAGGAGGGACAGATAGAGTGGAACTGGACTGGGTTGATCACTTGAGACAACGTAGCTCAATTGGTGGAGTGTCAGTCTAGCTAGAGTTCAGAGGGTCCCTGGTTTGAACGCTGGTCTGGCTGTCCATTTTCCCTCTTCTACTAAAGAACTCAAGGATTATTATTGTATACATATATATAAGTGGTTTTTTTTTTGCAATTCTGAATCAGATTCTAATTTTAAGAATAGTCCTTTAATAATCTTAAATTTGAAAGTAACAGTTAGTTATTGTTTGTCTTTTCAGGAGCATGAGAGTTTGTTTATGATAGATAATGAGTTCCACAGAATCAGTGTGCTGTATGTACCATCAGGAAAGACAAAGAAGAAAGTACCAAGATTGACGGCTTTAGTGGACAGTACAATATGTGTTGGAACTACAAGAGATGGTTAGTATTGTATTAACTTTGTAAAAAAACTTTGGAAAGTTAAAATAACCATTTAAGAAAATTAGAGTGGAGTTGGGTGATATTTCATGATATAGATAAAACTCATCAAAATAAATTATGTATAAGAGATGTTTGTTTTAAAATAGATATCTATAGGATTTACAAGATACTGTGAAGAATTAAAATAATTTATTATACTCCATAGAATATTTAGAAATTGCGATAAAAATATTGCCCAATTATGTAGGAGATTAAAAATATTTTTCACAGGAGCTTATTTGATTGGACTGACTCACCATGGCGACATATTCTTCTGGCACAAGGACAGAGACGTCCTGAAGACAGTTCGTGGCCTTGCTGGAATAGTTTCATCGGAGGAACTTCAACAAGGTACAGTCAGGTTCAAATCATAATTAAATTATTTGAAAAAAATAAAATAACCAAAGGTGACATAACATTTTGAAGTTCATTTCATTCATTACAAATAATCTTCAATCTTCATGATTTACTTAGATTCCTAGAATCAAAGTAAGGAAGACTCCTCCCCCTCCCCCTCACTTCCACCCAATATCCCCCCACCCCTCCACCCAAAAGTACATTTATTAGTTAAATTCAGTATAAATATGCAGATTTATGTTTAAAAATAGAAGAAAAAAAAGAAAAAAAGATCTTAAACCTGTATAACAAGAACAATGATGATGTCTAATTGTTTGTTGTACACTGTGGAAGTCATGGAAACTTTGAAAGGGGAGGTAATCCATTTTTTTCGTTACAATGTATTTCCTAGCTAATTACTTTACCAGTGACCTTCGTTTGTTACAGAGCCATGCAGATTATTTGCCTCTGCTGACTGTCAGTATTTTCTCCTGGTTATTGGAACCCACAATTTCTTTGTGTGGAAGACAGAACAAAGTGAAGACATCCTGGAGTCCAAACTTCCGGAAGTCCAGGGGTCTTGGAACAAGGTTGCCATTCCAAACAACATAAACATTCCAGTGTCTTGTCAAGACTGTGCGGAGTGTTCTATTGATGCCGTGTTCTTTAACCATGAGGTAAGTCACTAAAACTTTGAATCAGTTTCTCAGAAAAATACCAGTTTTTACCCTGGCATTTGAAAATGTTGGAATATCATGTAAACTGAAGTGCAGGTTAACCTTGTGTTAGCTAATGATGAATCGATCTGTTCACAATAACCTTGACTTCAAAAAGATTTTAGTGTTGTCATTTTCGTAGTGAGGGGTTCATCACCTTAACTCATTCACCCCTACAAAATTACACTGGACTTGCCTAGTCTTTGATTGGGTAAGGTTCAAATGTGACTTTAGGGGTGAATGGGTTAAGCCTGTATTTCCTCACCCTCGATCCTCCAGGGGTTTTGCTCTCTGCAACCCTGGAATATGTCATAGCAAATTTGAAGACACATGGCTAGCTGTTTGATTGGTCTCAGGTAAAACAAAATCTGACCAATCACTAGGCTGATACCTGTCCTTTTGAATATTTCAAAGGAATGACACCCGACTTCAAAGCCTGTCAATTTTACCGTCACACTACCGCGAGATTCTTTTGTCAGATGTACGTCAAAGGATCATTTATACTAGTCTTCTTGTTTCATCCACAAGATGGCACTCACTAAGCCTTCAATTTTGCTATGACATATTCCAGGGGTGCAGAGAGCGAAACCCCTGGAGTATCAAGGATGGTGTTTCTAGGAAATGTTGGGTATTACGCTATGATATAGCTAGGGCAGTATTGAATTACCCTTAATGACTGGCTACAGGTTAACGTCAATTACCCAGATACATGGTTTACTTACAGAGTTTGGGAAACTGCTGTCAGATGTCTGTGGTTTATAATATTGAACAGAGTCTATGTGTTATCTCCCTACTGCTACGTTTTGGTACCAATGCCGAATTCTACTCCAGCAAGTAAGTCACACGATGATAAAACCAGGACACCCTAATGTTCATCTGTTTTATCACTCTCGAGTTTCGTTTATCTTCGACTTACGATTTATATGCTATTATTCACAGGGGATGTAATTTCGTTATGTTCTTGGTCATCAAAGATTGCTTGAAATTAAATTACTCCGCAAATATTATTACTGAACAATATAATTTCTGTGAATATGTACAGACACACAAAAGTGTGAGGATATATTCAGCCGTTTCTTGCCAAAAAACAAACATGATAAACCAAATTTCAACCAGCTGTCAATATTGTGACTGTTTCGGTACCAAATTGGGATCGAACCTTACTCTACCAGGGTTGTTATGAAAAAATATGTAAAAACAAAATTCGATTGTACATGAATTTATTAAAATGTAAATAAAACTCACTTGAAAAATGGGTAGAAGATCCACTATAAGTTTCCATGTATCAGTGGTGTGTACACAGTTAGTTATTGGTGGGTTTAAATATGAATATAAACTTTATTACAAAAATTATGAAACAAGTTATTTCAAGTTATATTAGTCACTCTTGTTGGCCCTGATGTAAACGCACAAGGGGTCTTAATGTGGGAGGAAACCAGAGTACCTGGAGAAAACAGACCTAGTCTGGCAGGTGACCCCATAACATTTCATGTCTGATCTTGGTGAAAGTCAAGTGTGCTATCCACTGCGCCACGCGACCACTCAATTGGTGGGTTAATCAAGTTTTGTCTGTGTGGTGTACAGGTCTTTTGATATCAGACTTTTTTTTTTTTTTACAGGGTAGCACCTTTCCAGGTAGAGTGGACAGTGATCCAGTATCCGTTCAAACACATCCATCCCTCCTACGAGCCGATCCAGTCGAAGGGAGCTTATGTTAACTGCTACGCTAACAATGGACAGGTGGTGGCTGTCGCAGCCAACCAGAACACGCCCGGTCACAGCAGCATGTTGTTTGTGTCCCCCCTCACAGACACGGTCATGGTGTCCGAGATGAAGGGATGTGGGGTCAGAGATCGTTATTCCAAGATGGGCAGGTAACTATAAGATGCCAGTATCTTCAATAAGATTCATCATTTTGGAAATATGTAATATTAAAGTTTACTTTCTACACAAACAATGTACATATTAAACGTGTCCCAACGTTTCAACATTTTTTTGTGCAGGTTGTACAGGTAAAAAATACAAATCACTCACTCAGTTATAGCTTGGTAAAGGGACCTGTCAGTCTTGAAACGTTGTGACACATTTAATACGTACATTGTTTGTGTAGAAAGTAAACTTTGATATTATAAGCTGCCAGACTGTAATTTTCCCCAAGTTGTTGATATCAAGGCAATTTTAGAAATTAAGAGGCTTTTTCAATAATATTTGAAACATAAAGGGATAATTCTACAGAGTGCTCATTAGAAGTGTTTCTAAGAAGTGTACACTCTTTATTGCAGTATGTACTGGCTGCGTGAGATGACGTGGACATGTGACGACTTGTTCCTAGCCTGTATAATGAACAGTGGTGCCGTGTGCCTCCTCAGTCGACTGGGCGAGCCAATGTACATCAGGACATTCGGACAGTCTGTCGAGTTAGGTCCAGCCAACTTTCTCCCTCTTCATCCTTGTCAATACATCAGGTATGTCAATATTTAATATTTCATTGAAATTTTAGTTAGATATCTAATTTCCTTTCTCTCTCTCTCTCATTATAAGTTCCTAAACAAGTAGTGCATGGTATCGTGTTTAAAACTATAATGAGTGGATTTTCAATTTGTATTTTGACTTAAGATCTACAGAATAATTTTACCACTTGAAAGTTTAAAAAAAAAGATAGTTGGATGAACTTGGGAATCTGTTTCTACCAAAACATTTGTATAATATCAATATTTGATGCGTAATCTAGTTTTTGACCATGAAAAAATCTTCAAGGCTCATGCCATGACACAACAATTCATCATGTAAGCATGATGGTGCAAAGCATTGCGACGTGATTTTTTAACCAATAAAACTACTTTCATTCTTCATACCACAAGTCATTTTTTACTTCATGTTGATATTACAGTAAGATAGACGATCATAGGTCCTCACCCATCCACCAGCCAAACATGAACGAGGATCCAATGAGGCAGAGATTTTCTGTTTCCTCACATTCCAGTCTTCCCATAATCCTTTTTTCGGATGGCTTCATGGTAACGATAGCTCAGACGCCGACAGACATGACCTGTCTGACCTTGATGAGAGATTTTGTCCTGTTTTCATCAAAACATTTAAAGGATATGGCTCAACATGAGAACTTGGATCTGACCTTGGCCGATGCCTATGGAATGCCGTCATCTAGAGGTATGACGTTTACATATGTGTAGGATATTTCATTGATCATGGCTTTAGAGAATGAATTTGTTAGTGTTTCAGTAAAATGACCTTGTTGGGGTCATATGGTAAAATTATTATACTTCTTACAAATGAAGTTAAAGGGTTCACAGGAATCAGCTTGTCTTTCTGTCGACAGTAGCGAAAACCTGTCCAGACAACTAATTCCAAACTACTATAATGTATTAAAAGATGGGCTGATTTCGTTTATCGCAATCCTCCGAACAGTTGAACTGGTTGGACCAGAATTGTTCGTTTATGAAATAAGGTTAGACCTAGTAATCTGATGCTGCTTTTAGGTGAGCCTTGACAAAGCCTGCATAAACATTTTCAGGTCCGCCAGGATTTTTACCCAAAAATGTTACATTCAAAAACCGACAAACCGGTTGCTTCGCATAAACGAACAGGCCCCTGATTTATGCAAATAAAGTACACGTATTCTGTAGGATATATTTAAATAGAAATGTGTTCAGAAGAATGTATTTCAAGCTTCATGATTATTAGGCTTTGTATAAGGCAAGTAAGGTGTTTGGGTAATGTTTGAGTAGAATCTAAAATCGGCTTAAAAGTCTAAAACTTTCATGAAAATGCACTTCACATAAAATATACACAAGTATGTTGCGGTATTAAAAATGAAGAATTTAACGTAGAATGTTATCTGTTTTCAGAAGAGAAATCAGCAAGGTCTGTGAGAGATAGAAAGAAGAAGATACAGTTTGAATCGCCAGACGGAAACCTCAACACAACACAGGAGAGTGAGACAAGCTTCCTAGACGATCAGCAGGATATGTTTCAGGGACTAACAGCAGGAAAGATTGCATTCGCGGAGACAGAGCTACCTGTGATCCACCCCACAGACTTATCTGGACTGGACCAACTCAGCACAATGTCCAAACAGCTGGACATTGCAGAGAACTGTCTGTTCAGCGCCTGGAAACTGGCCGTGTCTTATTACGAACCGTGGACAGCAGATGCCGAAAGTGTAGCAAAAATAATCTGTAAAAATCTCACAAAACTGTTTGCGGTGCTTTTAGAATGTCCAGGTGTGGATAAGGTTCTGATGGAGTATCGTAAAGTTTCTCCATCTGCTCAGAATCCACGCCTCTCCTCGCTGATTAATATGTACAGGAAGTGCATGGAGCTGTTGCGGTTTGACATCATCAACCAACGCTTGATGCCGGTCACACTCCGGTTCAGTCACCACACTCTGAACCTGGTGTTGAACAGCGGCGAGCTACAGAAAACAGATCCGCGATTGAAAACATTGTCCGGGTGCTATGCGCTGATGAAGTTTTCAGAGACAATTCTTAACCGTGTCTATGTTTGGGTGCCCAAGGATGTCGTGTACAGTGGCCTGCCTCCAGAGTCGAGGAATGAACAAAAACACATCTATGAACCAGCAATATTAGTGAAATCCCAGCTGTCCCCGCGCTCTGCTGCTAAGGAGATCACAACAAGTAGCCAGTCCGAAAACAGGGGTGTAGCACTGGACCAACAGTCCCAACTACCAAGTAGAAGGTACAGAAAGTTTACCTAGTTAGCGTAGTAGTAGTAGTAGTAGTAGTAACTGTAGTTTATAGAGCCATATATACGTAACACTTTTTTTTACTCATTTGTCTTTTGAAAAGAGATATAATATCTAAATCTTGTATAATCTTGTAGTACAGTATACGGGGAAATTTTCACACAGTCAAATCGCCCTTCAATGAAAAAATCTATTTATTCACCCTTCACATTTAATTACTATGTATATTATGTTGTTTACAAATGTTTTGCTATTATGCTATATTTGCCCTCATTATGGAGGGTGAAAAAAAGTGAAAATTAAAGTACAGCGAAAATGTCCAAGTATAGAGTACATTAATATACAGCTCAAAATTGAAACTTCAGATATCATGTTTTATAATACCATGGAAGACGAGGATGAACTTAGAGCAAGAACATTATTAACCTTCTCTATATTTTATCTTAAAGGTTGTCTTTTGTTCCATAGTAGATTAATTCTAAAATGTTTCTAATAAACTCAGGTCTGTATTGAACCCACCGTTTATCTAGAATTTTTTTCAGAGTTCTAACAATAATGACCAGATGAAGTTTTAGATTTGACTGTCTGAATAAGATAAAGATAAAATTCATGGAAACATCGATTTTAATTGTTTACTCATGTTAATTATTTTTCCAGTAATCATGTAAACGCTGCCTCCGTATTCAGTGAACTTTCCCGAGGGTGATTATTTGATTAATAAGAGGAGTTTCTGTGATAGAATTTTTTGTTGAAGTCTATAGTTGTGGTATTCCTCTGTTTCCTGTTTTTAAATATGTCTTTGTTGAGCCTCAAGTGACAATTACCATTAATATTGGTGTGTTATATACATCAAGTTATGTATATAATGCTATGTTCATAACGTTTTTGTTTGTGTCGTGTTGTTGACATTGACACTTACATCTGAAAGAATAATTCATGTGTTTGTAGTGAGGAGGAGATAGTGTTTGTCTAATTTCCATTTTGAATTCATGAATTGATCCAAATGATAATTTTATAGTATGTGCAGTACATATACCAAGGTACCTGGTGAGAATTTTACATGCCAGGAATAGTGACATCCTCCTTCATTACAACATATAAATTATCTCTTTCCTCTCCTACATACATTTTAATGCTGATAAGAAATGTTCTACCCTGAATCCGTGTTTTATGTGTTGATTTGCTGTGATACCCTCACCGTCATCAAAATCATTTGCTGGACTAAATTTTTTCATCATAATAGATATATCAGTTGCTAAACAACATGAAGTTAACATAAAAAATCATCAGTTTATGTAAATATGGGAAGTGTACACTTGGAAATTTTTTTATGGATAAAAAAGTGTTTATTCATAGAAAAACAAAACATAACAAGAGCGAAAAAGTTTATTTGTCACCATTAATGTTTATAAGCTCTATTTATCTCTGTGATGGGTGTACTGGTAATTCAAATTCACATAAATAGCACAGAGTGTTTTATCACAACACATGTTGTACACCACCATACCATTGATAACACATGTTGTACCCCACCATACCATCGATATCACATGTACACCACCATACCATTGATATCACGTGTTGTACACCACCATACCATTGATAACACATGTTGTACACCACCACACCATTGATAACACATGTTGTATACTACCACACCATTGATAACACATGTTGTACACCACCATACCATCGATATCACATGTACACCACCATACCATTGATATCACATGTACACCAACATACCATTGATAACACATGTTGTACACCACCATACCATTGATAACACATGTTGTACACCACCACACCGTTGATAACACATGTTGTACACCACCACACCATTGAGAACACATGTTGTACACCACCATACCATCGATATCACATGTACACCACCATACCATTGATATCACATGTTGTACACCACCATACCATTGATGACACGTGTTGTACACCACCATACCATTGAAGATACATGTTTGACACCACCATACCATTGATATCCCATGTTGTACACCACTATACCATTGATATCACATGTTGTACACCACCATACCATTGATAACACATACTTTACACCACCATACCATTGATAAGACATGATTTACACCACCACACCATTGATTACACATGTTGTACACCACCATACCATCGATATCACATGTACACCACCGTACCATTGATATCACATGTACACCAACATACCATTGATAACACATGTTGTACACCCCCATACTATTTATATCACATGTTGTACACCACCATACAATTGATAACACATGTTGTACACCACCATACCATTCATAACACATGTTGTACACCACCACACCAGTGATAACACATGTTGTACCCCACCATACCATTGATAACACATGTTGTACGCCCCCACACCATTGATAACACATGTTGTATACCACCACACCATTGATAACACATGTTGTATACCACCACACCATTGATAACACATGTTGTACAACACCATACCATTGATAACACATGCTTTACATCACCAGACCATTGATAACACATGGTTTACACCATCACACCATTGATTACACATGTTGTACACCACCATACCATTCATAACACATGTTGTACACCACCACACCATTGAGAACACATGTTGTACACCACCATACCATTTATATCACATGTTGTACACCACCATACAATTGATAACACATGTTGTACACCACCCTACCATTGATAACACATGCTTTACATCACCAGACCATTGATAACACATGGTTTACACCATCACACCATTGATTACACATGTTGTACACCACCATACCATTGATGACACATGTTTTACACCACCATACCATTGATAACACATGTTGTACACCACCATACTATTTATATCACATGTTGTACACCACCATACCATTGATGACACATGTTGTACACCACCATACCATTGATATCACATGTTGTACACCACCATACCATTGATAACACATGCTTTACACCATCATACCATTGATAACACAGGTTTTACACCACCATACCATTGATAACACATGTTGTACACCACCATACCATTTAAATCACATGTTGTACACCACCATACCATTGTTAACACATGTTGTACACCACCATACCATTGATAACACATGTTGTACACCACCATACCATTGATAACACATGTTGTACACCACCATACCATTGAAAACACATCACCATACCATTGATAACACACCACCATACTCTTGGTAACACGTGATCATACCATCAATGACAGTATTATCAGTTTGATATACATGTAGCATTTCAAATAACTGTATTCACATGTACATCATAAATGTATGAGCATATGAAATGTAAACCATGATTATCATTTCATACCTCATGAATTCCTCAAGACTTCACATTTATATTGGTTTTCTTATCTCTCACTGTAAATAAACAGCTGGTATGCAGTTTGAAATGATTGATTTTCATCGATTTTGAATCTGTAATTGAATTTTGAATTCTATACTGTATAAGTAAAATAGAAGGTGTGTTAGATTGTGGTAGTTCTGTAGTACAGAAGAGGTAGAGGTGGTGATGGTGTTACACCAGGCTCGTCCCTTTGTTTACAGACGTAAATATATCTGAACATTACCAAACAGAGGTAAGATATAATGAGGTTTTTTTTTTAAATTGGTTTATTTATTCAATGAACAGAAATCTAGTTCCTGCTTTGACCACTTCAAGCAGCCTCCAAATGAAATACAACATGTAATCGTACTACCTGGTTATGCATGTATTAACCCTTTTAACACCATAGACCAAAATGGACTCATCCAGACCAATGCATGGTAGAGTTTACTAAAGTTACACAGGGGTGAAAGGGTTAAAGTACAGTTGAAATAGGCTGGCATATATGTGTATATAGTAAGTCATTATTTTCTGTTTTCTGTATTTTATATACATACATTAAGTATTGAATTATCATTGAATGGATACATTAATTAAAAAAAGATCATGACATCGAAAAAACATTTACATGACAAAGTTATCTATGTGGGTTTAATTGACCAGCATCAGGTATTATGTATAGTACACGAATATACTGTATACCGGGAAAAACAGTCAAATATTCACCGTTTACGGTAAAATCCATGTTCCCAAGTGTTAATTTCGCCCTTCACATGTAACTACTATATATTGTATGTTGTGTACAAATATTCGGTGGGGAGAGCTAAGTGGCAAAAGTTAAACTGTAACGTAAAAACTTTCCAGTGTACAGTATATAAAAGTTAAAGGTAAGAGATTATATGATTTAAGAACCGGCTTGAATTGGTACAATGTACTAAAGTTACCAAAAAATCAGCCTCAAGCACTATTTAATTTAAAACCCTTTTTTGATTTTTAATGACTTTCAGAGTCATAGTTAACATATACAGCAAGCATAAATAAAAGTCTGTTGTAGGTGAGAATTGTTCAATAATAATCACTTGCATTTAAATGTCATTTACTTAAACAGTTAAAATAAGCATTTATCAAAATTTCATGTTGATTTTGTAAACCATTATTTCATATTTTTAATTTGTTATCTTATATTACCTAGACAAGAAATTTGGATTTCTCTGCCTCTTATTTACGTTTTGTCTATATCTTTTACCGAGATTAAAACACTGTGAGATTAATTTTAATTAAGGATTTGCAGAATAATACTATATTTGTGCTGGGGTTATTTTTCTTTATTTTTTTTTACCATAATGCTTCTTAACCGTAAAGACTTATTTAATTGGACCTTTTTTATCCTTTTTATGATAAAGTGGAATTTCTATGAGACCTAATCAAACAGAAATATCTTTGGTTGGATAGAGGTGAACAATTCTACTACAAAATATTGAGTATGTGATAACTGTATAAACAGCGTACTGCTTGTGTTGGCGTACAGGTTGTGTGCGAGCTGGAAGTTGCTGTTTAAGGCTATGAAACAGCACCAAACACAGCTCCAGGGTATGGATGGCCAGCAGAAACAGGCGGAGCAGCTCGGTGGACTCATCTACACCATCCAACAGACCATTCAGGAGGTGGAAGGGGAAGTCGTTAAACCCCCCTCCCCCAGGGTCAATCAGGGTAGGTTTTAAACCCCATCCCCCAGGGTCAATCAGGGTAGGTTTTAAACCCCCCTCCCCCATCCCCCAGGGTCAATCAGGGTAGGTTTTAACCCCCCCTCCCCCAGGATCAATCAGAGTAGGTTTTAAACCCCATCCCCCAGGGTCAATCAGGGTAGGTTTTAAACCCCCCTCCCCCAGGGTCAATCAGGGTAGGTTTTAAACCCCATCCTTCAGGGTCAATCAGGGTAGGTTTTAAACCCCCCTCCCCCAGGGTCAATCAGGGTAGGTTTTAAACCCCATCCCCCAGGGTCAATCAGGGTAGGTTTCAAAAGTCTCTTTTCCTAGGGGTAAATCAGGGTGAGGTCTAATTTTTCTCTACTCTAGGGTGAATCATGGTAAGCCTGCAAGCTTAGAAAGTCTAGTATATATATATTTAAACTAATTTTTGTAATCAGTAAATATTGCTTAAATACTAGTATTTTGTAAGCCTGTTCCACAGTTGTCTTCATGCAAGAGGATTAAAAAAAGTACTTGCTTGGAGGTGAAAGATGCAATAGTTTATAATATAATGGTCTTTTAGCAGAAATAAAGCTATTTTGTCAATCATTTGTTTATTTGATAGCTGATAAAATAGTCTGCTGTTAATAAAGTAACATTCAATAGAAAATTATGCATTGGTCTGAGTGACATGGTCTCTCAGGCAAGAAGACATAAATTTTTGCTTGCCTGCAGACAAATTCTACTTGTCCTGGCCATGAGATCTTGCCTTTATTAGGTAATAAAGTACATTTTAACTTTTCTTAGCCAACTGTGAATAGTTGAGAAACAATTCAGAACTCTTAACTTTGTCCCCTGTATTTAGAACATGTGCTTGTTTAATCTGACATGCTGTCTACTAAACCTTCTTAGAAATATATATATTTTTTATGCGTTACAGGAGACAAATTGAGTATGGATGGGGAACACACTATGGCCATAGAGGCATGGATAGCTCAGCTTTCAAATACGTCAGGTAAATCTGTTATGATATAAGCTCTCTATTGATAGGTGAAACATCCCGGGTTGAGTGACATATGAAATATACAATTTCATCACATTGTAGTACAGGTAAATGATACAAATCTCTAACTTAGTCAAAGCTTGACAAAGGGACCAGTCGATCTTGAGATGTTGCTACACGTTTAATACATACATTGTTTGTGTAGAAAGTAAAACTTTGATATGAGATATTTCCAAACTGAGGAATTAATGTGAAATTCTGTTAAGAAGGTTTTACTTTTTCATCATATTTGTGTTTCTAACTAAAAGTAGTACTACACCATATCAATTTTTCATACCCCTATTCATTGAGGAAATACTTGTACAATCAGATAATGATGATTTACGTGTAAAGATGTTTCAGTCAGTGATACTAAGAGTTATTTCCCCTTGCAGACCGCCCTGAGGATGTCCAGCAGATGAGCCGACTCCTTCACTCTGTGTTGTATACATACATTATTAAGGGTCAGCTGGCCCGAGCCCTGGACTTTGTGGACAGTCTGGTCATCCAGGCCAAAGTCAGCACCGCTGTTTCTGAGCAGGAAGATCGCTCCCTAATGATGACCATAGTCACACACTCTCTCAAGAAGTCCTTAGTAAGTAGCCCCATGATTGATCGGTGGTGCGATTATATGTCAGACATTTTATAAGTATTGATTTGTTGAAGTAATATAATGCTTTCATCTGATAGATGACATGTTCGATTAAAACATTTGAAGGAACTAACTTGAATATCTGGTTTTAAAAAAACAAAATGTTTCTATTTTGTATTTACCTTGACATTGGATCTAAAAAGTGTAAATGAATGAAAGCAAGTTTTTTTCTAACATTCTCTTCAATGTATCCTACTTTTCTGACTTGACAGGATAAAAACCAGGTGGTGCCGTGTATACGTAATCGCTGCATCAGGCAATTGGTCCAGACACTGGCCAGATTTATGGCTGCCTACTTCAGTAACCAGACCGTCTACGTGTTCCCTCCTCACAACCCCCAGTCCCTCCCTGTCATACACATGGGACCAGTACAACTCAGTAAGTATAGTGAACCCTGTCTAGACTGACCACACAACCCCCAGTCCCTCCCCGTCATACACATGGGACCAGTACAACTCAGTAAGTATAGTGAACCCTGTCTAGACTGACCACACAACCCCCAGTCCCTCCCCGTCATACACATGGGACCAGTACAACTCAGTAAGTATAGTGAACCCTGTCTATACTGACCACACAACCCCCAGTCCCTCCCTGTCATACACATGGGACCAGTACAACTCAGTAAGTATAGTGAACCCTGTCTATACTGACCACACAACCCCCAGTCCCTCCCTGTCATACACATGGGACCAGTACAACTCAGTAAGTATAGTGAACCCTGTCTATACTGACCACACAACCCCCAGTCCCTCCCTGTCATACACATGGGACCAGTACAACTCAGTAAGTATAGTGAACCCTGTCTATACTGACCACACAACCCCCAGTCCCTCCCTGTCATACACATGGGACCAGTACAACTCAGTAAGTATAGTGAACCCTGTCTATACTGACCACACAACCCCCAGTCCCTCCCTGTCATACACATGGGACCAGTACAACTCAGTAAGTATAGTGAACCCTGTCTATACTGACCACACAACCCCCAGTCCCTCCCTGTCATACACATGGGACCAGTACAACTCAGTAAGTATAGTGAACCCTGTCTATACTGACCACACAACCCCCAGTCCCTCCCTGTCATACACATGGGACCAGTACAACTCAGTAAGTATAGTGAACCCTGTCTATACTGACCACACAACCCCCAGTCCCTCCCTGTCATACACATGGGACCAGTACAACTCAGTAAGTATAGTGAACCCTGTCTATACTGACCACACAACCCCCAGTCCCTCCCTGTCATACACATGGGACCAGTACAACTCAGTAAGTATAGTGAACCCTGTCTATACTGACCACACAACCCCCAGTCCCTCCCTGTCATACACATGGGACCAGTACAACTCAGTAAGTATAGTGAACCCTGTCTATACTGACCACACAACCCCCAGTCCCTCCCTGTCATACACATGGGACCAGTACAACTCAGTAAGTATAGTGAACCCTGTCTATACTGACCACACAACCCCCAGTCCCTCCCTGTCATACACATGGGACCAGTACAACTCAGTAAGTATAGTGAACCCTGTCTATACTGACCACACAACCCCCAGTCCCTCCCTGTCATACACATGGGACCAGTACAACTCAGTAAGTATAGTGAACCCTGTCTATACTGACCACACAACCCCCAGTCCCTCCCTGTCATACACATGGGACCAGTACAACTCAGTAAGTATAGTGAACCCTGTCTATACTGACCACACAACCCCCAGTCCCTCCCTGTCATACACATGGGACCAGTACAACTCAGTAAGTATAGTGAACCCTGTCTATACTGACCACACAACCCCCAGTCCCTCCCTGTCATACACATGGGACCAGTACAACTCAGTAAGTATAGTGAACCCTGTCTATACTGACCACACAACCCCCAGTCCCTCCCTGTCATACACATGGGACCAGTACAACTCAGTAAGTATAGTGAACCCTGTCTATACTGACCACACAACCCCCAGTCCCTCCCTGTCATACACATGGGACCAGTACAACTCAGTAAGTATAGTGAACCCTGTCTATACTGACCACACAACCCCCAGTCCCTCCCTGTCATACACATGGGACCAGTACAACTCAGTAAGTATAGTGAACCCTGTCTATACTGACAACACAACCCCCAGTCCCTCCCTGTCATACACATGGGACCAGTACAACTCAGTAAGTATAGTGGACCCTGTCTAGACTGACAACACAACCCCCAGTCCCTTCCTGTCCTACACATGGGACCAGTACAACTCAGTAAGTATAGTGAACCCTGTCTATACTGACCACACAACCCCCAGTCCCTCCCTGTCATACACATGGCGCCAGTATAACTCAGTAAGTATAGTGGAACCCTGTCTATACTGACCACACAACCCCCAGTCCCTCCCTGTCATACACATGGGACCAGTACAACTCAGTTTATATAGTGAAACCTGTCTATACTGACCACACAACCCCAGTCCATCCCCGTCATACATATGGGACCAGTACAACTCAATATGTTTAGTGGAACCTGTCTATATTGACCACACAACACCAGTCCCTCCCTGTCATACACATGGGACCAGTACAACTCAATAAGTTAGTGGAACCTGTCTATACTGCCACACAACACCAGTCCATAACCGTCATACACATGGGACCGGGACAACTCAGTATATATAGTGAAACCTGTCTATACTGACCATACAACCCCAGTCCATCCCCGTCATACACATGGGACCTGTACAACTTGGTAAGTATAGTGGAACCCTGTCTATACTGACAACACAACCCCCAGTCCCTCCCTGTCATACACATGGGACCAGTATAACTCAGTAAGTATAGTAGACCCTGTCTAGACTGACAACACAACCCCCAGTCCCTCCCTGTCATACACAAGGGACCAGTATAACTCAGCATGTATAGTAGAACCTGTCTATACTGACCACTCAACCCCCAGTCCCTCCGTGTCATACACATGGGACAAGTATAACTCAGTAAGTATAGTGGAACCCTGCCTATACTGACCACACAACCCCCAGTTCCTCCCTGTCATACACATTGGGCCAGTAAATTTCATTAAGTATAGTGGACCCTGTCTATACTGACACCACCCCCCCCAGCCCCTCCCTGTCATACACATGGCGCCAGTATAACTCAGTAAGTATAGTAGAACCTGTCTATACTATGTATAGTGGAACCCTGTCTATACTGACCACACAACCTCCAGTCCCTCCGTCATACACATGGGACCAGTATAACTCAGTATGTATAGTAGAACCTGTCTATACTGACTACGGGACTTTAAGTCCCTGTCATGCACATGGGACTGGTACCAGTCAGTTAATATGTTGTTCAGTGAAATCAATAAAATTTACTGCATATAAGAGTGGTGGAAAATGGTTGTCAATTTTTGCTTAGTATCATTCTTTACGAAATTCCTTGTATTATTATTCAAAGAAGTTGAAAAAACCTGCTTGAAACATATTGAGGCAGAAATTACTAATCCTTTGAACTGTGTTTGTACTGTTTTGTCTTACTCAGGTAACAGACTCCCGCCTAAATACCACGAGGACATCACTAACCTATTAATTCTGTTTTGTCTTACTCAGGTAACAGACTCCCGCCTAAATACCACGAGGACTTCACTAACCTATTAATACTGTTTTGTCTTACTCAGGTAACAGACTCCTGCCTAAATACCACGAGGACATCACTAACCTATTAATTCTGTTTTGTCTTACTCAGGTAACAGACTCCCGCCTAAACACCACGAGGACATCACTAACCTATTAATACTGTTTTGTCTTCCTCAGGTAACAGACACCTGCCTAAATACCACGAGGACATCACTAACCTATTAATACTGTTTTGTCTTACTCAGGTAACAGAATCCTGCCTAAATACCACGAGGACATCACTAACCTATTAATACTGTTTTGTCTTCCTCAGGTAACAGACACCTGCCTAAATACCACGAGGACACCACTAACCTATTAATACTGTTTTGTCTTACTCAGGTAACAGAATCCTGCCTAAATACCACGAGGACATCACTAACCTATTAATACTGTTTTGGCTTACTCAGGTAACAGAATCCTGCCTAAATACCACGAGGACATCACTAACCTATTAATTCTGTTTTGTCTTACTCAGGTAACAGACTCCCGCCTAAATACCACGAGGACTTCACTAACCTATTAATACTGTTTTGTCTTACTCAGGTAACAGAATCCTGCCTAAATACCACGAGGACATCACTAACCTGGTTAGACGGGAGGGACTAGGTCAGATGTGGACCACAGAGCGTGTACTGGAGTACCTCTTACTCAGTGGCCTGGTGTGTGAAGCTGTCTGGTTTGCGTACAAAATGGGGGATTGGAAGGCGGCTTTCCTGTTGTCTGTGGCCTGTACCTCTCATCAAATCGTGGCTCCTAGGCTTTACAAGAAGTAAGCTCGTCTACAGATCGTGGATTGATAAACATTTATCCTTTGTATCCAATCTTGAAGCGACTATGTATCTTTCTCTGAATTTGTATTTATTTCATTGTTCAGACTGTTTTCCTCCTTCTTTCTGCTTTGAAAGCAAGGAATCTTGTCATTTGCACATCTGCCCAGAAGTTGTCTGTTGGTAAACATACAGATTTTATTTTACAAATCTCGTTTGTGTGATCCGTAGAAAGAAGAGGCCCCTGATGCTTCCAGATGAGCTCAGCCCCACTGCCATTTTACGGGGCAAACTGGAGGCCCTCATCCACCTAGACAAACGCAAGGCTGGAGCCACCGTCAAACGGGAGGAGAAAAGAGGTACACCAACAACACTTGTCTCTTGTTTAGTAAAACTAAACAACAAATTGGCATGATCACCATCTAATGCAAGATAATTCGTTGTTTAAGAACAATTTGAAGTGCAGTTATTTATAGATTTATCTGGTGTGAAGTTTTGATCTGTGGACAATAATTAGCGTTTCCTGTCTTCACTAATTTGTACAGTGAAGGTGACATCCTAATATACCTCATAAAAAATATCTGTAAGGTGAGAGACCGTTGAAAAACATCAATTTGTTTGTAATTGCAGACTTCATCCCGATTGATAACGAGACCAACCTTGTGCAGCTGTCGCGGACGGTGGAGGATATACTGACCGCTGGGATCATCAGTAACGTAGAGATTGTGCCCTGGCTATTGTCCAGTCTGGTGGACAGGCTCAAACATGTGGTCTCCAACTTCTCTCCACTGGTGCCCAAAGATTTCTACCTGCCTGCCCCTCCTGTATATTGTCCACAACCCACAGAGGCTGACAAGGTAACTAGCTGTGTAAAACATTTGTACAAGGGCCTGTACATTTTTGCAGACCAACTGGGCTGTTTATTTTTAGCTCACTTGGCCCTTAAATGTAATATTTCATGGTAAATACCTGACAGATCTGTAGATGTTAATGCATTGATAGTCTTTGCAAAGGCTCGACAGGAAACAACGTCAAATAACTAGGTCCATCTCTATTTCAATAACAAACAACTCGGGTCCAACCGATTCAACCATTTGGAAGGTAAGGAACAAAGGCGGCCCTAAATACAATAATTAATCAAGTTGCGATCTTTGTAGTTTCAGGTTTTTAGTCCTGTCTCCTCATAAAGAAACAACGCTAGCATTGTTAACAGTAACATTTCACATTATATATGACACCATTCATGGCTCCTACACCTATTATTTCTTGTAAATGTATGTTTCTTATTTGATCGATGTATTCTCAGGAGACGGGAGGCTCTCAGGAAGCTCAGCGGGAGAAACGACTGCGGTTTCAAATCTCTTCGCTGGTCCAGCTGATTCTGGTGATAATGGAGGCGTCCCATATCTCACTCCCTGCAGCTCGCTGGTACATACAGGAACTCACTAAAGCCCAGAGCAAGGCTCAACAGTTCAAGGTAAGTACTCTATATATCTCATCTCAACTCTATTGTAAAACCAGGCACCGAGCAAGGCTCAACAGTTCAAGGTATAATACTCTATATATCTCATCTCAACTTTATTGTAAAACCAGGCACCGAGCAAGGCTTCAAAATTCAAGCAAAACATTCAATGTACTGTGTATCAGGAAAGCTTGCTCAGTCAAACTTTCGTCCTGTGTCGGTAAAATCCCTATTCCCCCAGTGTTAATTTCGCTCCTCACATTTGATTACAATGTCTTGAACATTGTTTTCTTATGTTCGGAGTAATAACGAATTCGTGATAAATTGAAAAAGAGAACGTTAAACAGTGGTGAAAATTTCTCAGAATACAGTGTCAAATTACTTGTACAATCACCCACAGCCCAAGGATCAACAGCTGAAGGAAAACACTCCATATATGTCATTTTAACTCACTTGTACAATAAGGCACAGTGTACAGAGTATACACTCCATGTAGCCTGTCTCAGTAAGCTTGTTCATACGGGAGCTCACCAAAGTACAGATTAAGATTCAATGTTAATCATAACATATTTCTCCCCTAAACATTTAGAAGCTCATCAAAGCTCAACACATATCTCTTGTCAGCTTGTTGGTGCTTAGTGGAGCTGAATCAAGGTTCAATGCCCAAGCCTTAAATGACCTCAGCTGTTAATAGGACCTTAATGTAAAACCAAACCAAAGCCCAACTCACATCCTTAATTGACCTGAGCTGTTAGTAGGACGTTTAACAATTCAAAACCAAACCAAAGCCCAACTCTCATCCTTAATTGACCTCAGCTGTTAGCAGGACGTTTAACAATACAAAACCAACCCAAAGCCCAACTCACATCCTTAATTGGCCTCAGCTGTTAGTAGGACGTTTAACAATTCAAAACCAAACCAAAGCCCAACTCCCATCCTTAATTGACCTCAGCTGTTAGCAGGACGTTTAACAATACAAAACCAACCCAAAGCCCAACTCACATCCTTAATTGGCCTCAGCTGTTAGTAGGACGTTTAACAATACAAAACCAACCCAAAGCCCAACTCACATCCTTAATTGGCCTCAGCTGTTAGTAGGACGTTTAACAATTCAAAACCAAACCAAAGCCCAACTAACATCCTTAATTGACCTCAGCTGGTAGTAGGACGTTTAACAATACAAAACCAAACCAAAGCCCACCTCACACCCTTAATTGACCTCAGCTGTTAGTAGTACCTTAATGTAAAACCAAACCAAAGCCCAACTCCCATCCTTAATTGACCTCAGCTGTTAGCAGGACGTTTAACAATACAAAACCAAACCAAAGACCAACTCACATCCTTAATTGACCTGAGCTGTTAGTAGGACGTTTAACAATACAAAACCAAACCAAAGCCCAACTGTTAAAAGTAAGCATGCTTATGGTGAGTTTTCAGTTAAACCATTAGTTTTACAGAATGAATTGTGAAGGACTTTGTACATTGTATGTTTAAGGGAAGCAAGGAACAAACACATGGTAAAATACTAGCTGTTTGGCCCACTTCCTACTGACTCATGCACAGCTGGGGAGAATTTCTCTTTAGCTCATTTGGTAGAACATAAGACTAGTAAACCAGAGGTCCTAGCGGATATAAGAACTAAAATCCTGTTACCCAGATATGTTTGTAACTTGTAACTGGTATGGATATGTTAAACAAGAGATGTGCATCATATTAACAATGTGTTTGGTGTTACACAGGCAACTACAGAGGGACCCTGTCTAGAACTCCCAGAGGTCTTAGAAAAATACAAACAAAAAAAGTCCGGTTTCAGTAAGATGCAGAAAGAGAGGTCTGTGCGCCAGGTTGTCAACAGTTTCCGTGATTTCTGTACCATTCTGTGGCTGCTCCACGCTCGGGACAGAATGTCAAAGATCCTGAGACAGCGAGAGGAGCGCATGAATGACGTCAAATATGAGGACTACATGAGAGTAGGTATTTTAAGGATTTATTAACTCATTCACCCCTAGCCTGAAGACACATTTGAACTCTTCCAATTCAAAGGATGGAATAGTCCAGTAATTTTCTTCAGTACAATTGATCAACAATATGTGTTTGCTATTTTTTCTGCATTATATTCTGCATTATAAGTGATAAGCTATACTTGTTTGTCATTTTTCTGCAGTATAAGTAATTTACCATAACTGTTTGCTGCTTTTCTACAGTGTTAAAAATGTGTTCAACATTTGGTTACAGGAGAGCTGGGAGTCTAAGGAGGGTGAGGTTTGGGTGAAGGAGTGCTTCAGCAACCTACAGTGGGCTGTCCACATGGCCACGTTCAGCAGATTTCTACCAGATGAGGGATGTGTGTACAAAATCATTCTCTCACTCCTTCTTGAACTGCCTCCAAATGAAGACACAGCTGACATATTAGCTGAGTTCTTTTACGATCCTGACAATTTGGATGCTGAGGTTCAGGAGAAACTGGACAAACTACTTGCTGTTTGGCAGGGTGTGTTTATAGAGCCTGAAGATGATGGAAAGTCAGCAAGGCCTGATACTTCATTTGATAACAATGATGATGATAATGAAGGAAGAAAGTCGGTTACATTCCTACAAGTATCACCACGGGGCAAAATTCTGTCAGTGTATTACTTCAAACAGTGTGAAGTGGTCATGAAAGTGCTAAAGAAGAGAGCGAAAGTCTTTGGTCGGTTTGAAGAGTTTGTTTATGACCGGTCGGGCAAAATCAACAAAACAGACAGTTTGAAAGGTAACGGCCACAAAAGCAAGAATGGATTCCACATAGGATGTAGACCATTTGAGACCAAGACATCTTACCTGGAATTTTTAGACAGTTTCTTCGACATCTCCTTCACAAAGATACTGGACACAGACACTGACCAGCACAAGTCCTTACCCTTGCTTCTGCCGTTCTCCGAGGAAATATGTGCCAGACAGTTCCGTGACATGGACGAGAAATCTGGAACGACCATGCGCAGTCGCCAGTGTTTGGTTCCCATGACGCCCCCTCACAGACCTGTCAAACGGACACAGAGTGAGTCAGTGTTACAGTACAAAGGAGCAAAGATCAATACAGGCTTCTACAGAAGTGTCAGCGCAGTCGAAACTAACACAGGGGCAGATAATTCATCCGAGCCTCCAAGTAGCAGACGACAGTCCTCACCTCATGGTCGGGGAAACATGACTGGTTTGGCGTCCAAATTTGCTCAGTCTGAGGACGCCCTATACAAAGACTCTGCTGCCCAGGAGGACTCTGGGGGTTTTCTGGACGTGGATTTCGGGACCAAGTACCACCATGTTCAACATCTGCTAGACTGGTTGTCCCAGTGGGGCAATAAGAATCATTCTCTTGGCCTTAATTGGAAGAGAGAGAAAGACTTGGAGTTCCGACCCACCATGAAGATTATTGTCCCACCAACCCTAGTCGTGTTGGCTCTCTGGCTAGTTGAAAACAAGTACACCCCCTCAAAGAAATTAATAAAGTCGGGGCATAGTTCTGAGGGGCAGAATCTGTCTGTGATTGAAGAGGACACAACACGGACCAATAGAACTGAGCTCGAGGAAGCAGTGATACACCAAACACAGGTCAAACAGGTCGAGGCACTGACAGGGTCTAGGAGGTCGAGTCAGGACAAAAGGTCGCCCAACAGGCAAGAACTAGGCATGTCGTCAAGTATGAGGAGTTTCTCCTCACATCACACAGAAAACGAGTACGACCTGGAAACAGAGGAGGTACACACAGCATACGAAAGAGTCCTGGATGAGTGAGTTTCTTTACCCCTTTCACATATCCAGCTTTTAGTTTATTTTAGTTTGTGTGTTTTTAAATGTAACTTTTCAGGTATTAATCCTGGCTGACCTGCAAATATCTATGCAGGCCTTGCAAGGCTTTGTCAAGGCTAGCCTGAAAGTAGTATAACATTATTAGATTCAACCTTATTTCATAACGAACTGTCAACCACTCTGGTTCAACCGGTTCTACAGATGTAGCACTAGTTATTTATAAGTTTTATATTATCTACTATATCTATACGGTTAACTGTGTCTGCATTATTAAGCATATTCTCTCGGAGATTGTTCAACATACATCTTCGCAAAAAAGAATTCTAGAAGTTTTATTTAAGTAGATACATAGCAGCTACGAGGAACACAAAAATCATTTCTTTTTGCATTTTTCAGGGACACCAAAGAAGAGAGTAGTTCCCTTGAAGTGAGCTCGTTGGGCACGGACGAATATGAACCTGAAATGCGGCAGACTCTGTCCATCATCCGAGGGTAATTTTGTTATCGTAGAATACACAAATGTAGTGACTTGACTTGACCCACATCAAAGGGGACTTGATTAAGTAAGATATAACATTGTGTCTGTAAGCTTGACTGTATCTAGATCAAAGGGGACGTGTTTAGGAAAGATATAACATGGTGTCTGTAAACCTGACTGTACTACATCAAAGTGGACTTGTTTAAGTAAGGTATAACATTGTGTCTGGAAACCGGACTGTATCTACATCAAGGGGGACTTGTTTAAGCAAGATATAACATTGTGTCTGTAAACCTGACTGTATCTACATCAAAGAGGACTGGAACATTTAACCCATTCACCACTGTAGACCAAAATGGACTCAGCCATATCAATGTGCGGTAGAGGCTACTAAAGTTACATAGAGTTACATAGGGGTGAAAGGGTTAAGGCAGTCTGTGAAGTCAGTTTAATGATGGCAAGATAGGACACTGTGTCAATATAATCAGGTTTTAAACTTGACAGATTTTGTAGCCTAACAGGATGTATTTAAAATCAGGTCTCAGTAAAGTCAGGTTTCATCAACAAACCGTTACAAGTGATGTATTCCCTTTTTGTCAATTCGACGGATTTTTATTTGTTTTATGATTTTCATCTGTTTAATAAATGTGTTTTAAATCACAAATTACAGGGCTAAGACAAGTCCCCAGAGGTCACGGAGGTCACTCAGACACACGAGTCCCGACCACAACCTGTCTTACCTAAACAGAATCAATAACTTCCAGTCGCCGGACAGACATAACCAGCAATCTCCTAACACCAGCACTCCCAAATCACAGCGATCTATGCACCGTACTGGCTCCCCCAGGACCAGGTCATCTAGGGGTCGTAACCAGGGAGAGCTGGGTGGAGACCTCGCCTCACAGCTACAGGGCATTGTCAGGTCTGAACTGCGCAGGATAATGGAGGTGAGATATGGTGTCATCCAGGGCTGCAACAAATGCATTAACATGACGATATATACAATACGAATCACTATACGTATAGTAACAGTAGAAGCAAAGCGAAAAGGTATGTTGCAAATTTTAAATTGCAATATTACAGCAGGAAATAGACTTGGTCCTAAATGGGCATGACTTTAAAGTTTCACATAATTGATGTACTTTGACGTGCATGCTGACTAAATTCAGAAACGGCAAAATCTGGAAAATATCGTAGGTGCATCATGACCTCACAAAAAATATTTGGTATCGTACTGTATTCAAAATATTGCGATATATTGCCACACGATATATCGCTGCAGCCCTAGTGTTATCACTTCTCAGGCATAGATGCACAATTGAGTTGCTATAATACCTGAGTCGATGTTCAACTCCGAACAAAAAAGGTTAATGTATTGGTACATTTCTGATAAGCATGTCTTATGACAGATGTACCATTACAAATGGTTTGTAAAAGTTAGCTCTGTTCATCAAGCAAACCAGATGACAGTGTGAAAAAAAGCTAAAATGAAATCCTAACAATATCTTCTCTGAAAAACTGTCAAGATACACCATTCTATGAAGAAGAGCTTTTATTAATTACTTAAGCATAGTGTAAGTTTCATTGCAACATAAGGAGCGTTATAACTTCGATATTGAACGGATGTTGAAGAAAGTTCACTGGACTAGAGATAGACCAATATATTTTTTTTGTCATCCTCCTTACTATTTATAGAGATTACATCCTGTATTGTAGGTCCAACACACCAACATGATGGCTATGATGGGCGCACTGGACGACCAGGACAACTCTCAGCCACCTCCCCTTCGGAGATATCCTCGTAGACCACACTCCCAGTCCCCATCCCGCGGGGAAGGGCGGATGACAGAGAACCGAGGCACCAGCCCAATGAGGGGGTCAAGAGGTAACAGCCTTGACCGTAGCACGATGAGATTAGAGGAACTTGATCATTCTGGAAGGTCAAGGTCAGCAAAGAAAGGATCGGTCGGAGGAGCCCTAACAGAGTTAAAGAATTTACAGGGCAGCGCTAATCGGTCAAGAGCACTGTCAGGAAGCCGGTCACCTCCAAAGTCAAGATTAGGAGGTCCGGACAGAAAAACGGAAGTAAAGGAAAACATTAATGTACAACATTCCCAGCAACTAAGCAACGAGCCAATTCATTTCATTCCAAAGTTTTTACGTATTCCTGCAGAGAGGGACATGAATGAGGACCAGGTGAAGCTCCCTAGGATTCCCTCTCAGGCCTGGAGGGAGAAAGATGACGAGTATGCAGACAAACCAGCAGAAAACATCAGCATTCCTCTGCTGAATGTTTATGGAGCACATGTCCCATCTAGATTGTTCCCTGGAGTCAACAAGTTCCCTGGTAACCAGATTCCCCAGGTGGCCTCACAGAATCCCCCATATGGACCCCCTCCCCAGTACTTTGAGAGCTACACAGACCAACAGAGTTCTGACCAATCCATTGGAATTCCACTGTTGAAGATGCCAAATGAAACAAAACCCTTCTTGGGCCCCCGACCGGAGCCCAGCTTTGGAAGGCTGTTGGCTCCACATCTGATTCTGGGCAGCGAACAAGAAAGGCACCAACAGGAGATGGCCAAGCAGAAACATGCCCGAGAATTCCACAGACAACAGGTAAATCAGGCCGTTCATTCTGTGCTGACTTGGGATACTTGTTTCAATAGTAAAAATATTTGTAATTCATGACATGGTGCTAGATACTTGGCGCACCACTGTGTACAGTGTGAGAGTAATGGCAGTGTAATTTTTGCAATATTGATCGGAAAAGGAAATTACTATGACTTAGATTCTCTGTATACAACACAAATTCAATGACATGACATATTTTCAAAAAACTAGAAACACTGCATTAAATCAAAGCTTCATGCAAAATTATCTGGTAATTAATTACTTTTTCTTGACAAATTTTCATCATTTAGTAAAAAAAAAGTATATTTTGATATACTTAAGCTGAATAATCGCAATTTCTGTATGTTTCATAATTGCTGATGTTATTATTGAACAGCTGAATTCCACTGTATATATTGTTACCATGCCTCTCTATCTTTAGGTTGAAAATTTGGAAGAGTTAGAGAAACAACGGTTTGGGGAAAATCGGCTGCATATAAATCTGAAGCACCAGGAATTGAAAGAAAGGAAGGAGGAGGAAGCAAAAGCAAGGAGGATTAAACAGAAAAATAGAGTTGTCATGTCGCGGTCCGAGTCTCCAACAGAATCAGAATCCAGGCGTTCCCGAGTAAGTAGATGTATATCTACAATGACCGGTGATTTTTCTATCTCTTTTCAACAGAATCTGTGCCTTGTGACTTTGGGGAAATATCATGCCAATGAATTTAATTTTTGTCTCGCCACCACGAAGTGGAAGCGAGACTTAGGTGTTGCTTTTCAGGCGACGGCGTCAACATTAAGTTTTTGCGTTTAAGTTAGTTTTACGGAAAGTATAAGTGCTAGACCAACCAAACTTGGATCATAGATGCATCTTAGGTAGTACATCTCAACTCATGCATCAAATGCTGGATGCTGCCTACCTTTCATGGTCCATTGACTTGGTCAGCTTCTCCTTCAACATTAAGTTTTTGTGTTAAAGTTAGTTTCTCTGATATGTGCATTGATGGTCAAAGCGAAGCATAGGCGAGGCATATCAATCCAAATGGCTTGTGTTTTGTACATCCAGTCAATCCTCGGCAAGATATGTAATGTATGTAAGTGATTTTGCAGTGAATATCTTGGGGAAGGGGCCTTTATAAAGTTCCTAATTCACTGAGAGAAAAAATCACTGGACACACAGGTTTCAGCATTTGTGCTGATAGAATAGACATTGTTCACAAATTGTGTTTTGAAAATTAATGAATTCGGGTAAGATGATACTACTTCTCACTGATAATAATACACTGTACAACCTCTTATGTTTTAATTCATTTACAGTTACCCCTGAAAACATATTTTAACTCTTCCAATTAAGAGATTGGAATAGCTCATTTTGAAATTTCAGGGGTGAATGAGTTAATCTAAAAACAAAAATACTGATAAAAGAAGAGCTAGAAACTTGACATCTCCGAAATGTTTGGTGCTGAAGATGTTCTTGTGGTTGTGGTTGGCACCTTAACTTCGGGAGAACCTCTGCTTATAATGACGTAATATGTAGATCACATGTTCCTTTGTAGAAGTTGGCGAAAGTGTCTTTATGTCACCAACTATTATGCAGGGTTTGAATTGCGATTCAGTGATAATGTCCACATGTGCTTTACAGACACCAAGGAAGGCTGTTACTCCGAGAAAGGTGGTCACCCCAAGGAAGGCTGTCACGCCTCGGGACAAGAGCACAGCGGGCGAGGAGGAAGAGGACTATGAGGAAGAGGAGAGTACAGATGTTGCTGAGACTGGGGAGGACATAGATGAAACCTTAGAGGAGGAATCCGATCCAGATAAACTTTATGATGGATATGCTATTAAACCAGGTCAGTAATGGTGCTTACGTTATCAAATCAAGGTCTGTGATCCCTATCATGTAACAGAACAGGGTTAGTGCTCACAAATCTGGTAAGTATAACTGTTAGTGTTGATATTGTATTTTGTGAAAGCTAGATTATCTATCAATAATTTCTTCTTTCAGTTATAATTTGTTGATCAAAAATAAAATACCCGCAAAATGAATTTAAAAACATTGCTGACAATATCAGTATGCAGTACTTGAATAAGGAATATACAATGCTTTTAAAAATATTGGAATAATCAGAAGATGTTCCCAGAGACAAGTGATATAATGACCCATTATTCTATGTGATGACAGCTTTGGTGTGATGGTTTAATTCCAGGGTCGTTTGACAACTACCTTGAACTAGATGAAAGACTGGGTCCAGAGTCAGACACCAATGCCAGGATACAGTACAGGACGGCCATGATCCTGAAGAAACAGCGACAGAAACGCAAAAAGGTTAATATATTACTGGAGGGTTTATGTTCCCCCCCTCCCCCGTTGAAATAACGAAACCGGTTGTTTACAGGTGTTAGGTATATTTGAGTGGTTTGGCTTTAATGTTTATTGTTAATAGTAATTGTAACAAGAGTCGAAGACTGTGGAATCCCCATGATAATTAAAATATTACTGGTAAATGTCTCTTAAATATTGCTGTATTAGTGTTCAGTTTAGATAACATGTGGTGTGAAAAGAAATTCATTGTCATGTCAAGTTTGCCTAAATGGATCCAGGTATAAATATGTTTATGTTTACCAGGTTGACTTCTCAACCAATACTACAGAGTATGCTGACATGGGTACTGATGCTGATGAGGCGTTTGAGAGTGTCAGGACTGCAGAGGCAGCTACCTCCATCACCAAAGACACAGGTATAGTACAAGCATGACAAAGACCTTAAAAGTCTTCCTGAATGTATCGAATAGAGAATCAACTGAGCGAGAAATAACGTCAGTCACAATGCAATGGGCTAGTCAAGAGATTTATCACTTTTGATAACTTTGCAGTTTCTGTTAATTGTCTTTTTATGGAATTATGACTCTGTGTTGTAGAAATGTTTTCTTCTTAAATGTCAATCAAAGAGAGAATTATAATTTGGTTCTTTTACTTAAAACCAGGAAATTTTTGCTGCAGTTTATTTTTTACCTTTTTCACACTCTTTAATTAGGGCGAATTTACCTGTACAGTTAACATTTGTAAACAACATAATGTACACAGTAATTAAAGGTAAAGGGCGAAAAAGGATTTTACCATCAAAGGGCGATAATTTAACTGTGTGAAAATTGCCATGTATACAGTATTAGATTACTTTACCTTACCAGGTGTCGACCCTATCCAGGAAGCTATAGTTGAATACAACCGTGCACGACAGGGTACTGCTCTGCCCCCAGACATTTATCTGGGGCTGCGGTTTGGGGACGGGGAGAACCAGCCCACGTCCGATGTGGCCCCCGATGGCAAGCAGGTATGATAATGAACTGTCAGATCGTAAACTTTTTGTTAAACATTGTACACAAAAACCTAAATATTGTGCATGGGTTGGAAATCTGTTCTGTTTGAACATCAGAAAGTGGAAAGTTGATAACAGACTTGAAATAGTATTAATATGACACTGTTAAAATACAGAACACATTTGTTATTTGAACAATAATCACCTTTGTTTTGTTATTAAAAAAATGTCCTTTCACCAAAATCAATGTTCATATTACAGTAACAGTTCGTAGGACAACATTTTAGAAATCCTGTATAACCAGATATGAAATGTCTACAGCAATTCATGCAAGCCTCAGTTAAGACAGAGTTATAATTTTACTATGGTTTCCCCCGTAGGTTAAGCCTAAGGGTCGTTCATACCTCAACGTGGTAGATCTGGATGCGGCTGCTGTGTTGAAAGATCTCCGAGCCATTAGAGATGAAGAAAAAGTGCAGGAAGATTTAAGCCTTCGTCCTACGTCAGAAACCCTCAGGTCTGCCCGAGGTCACCAACAGGGTCAAGAGTTCGCAAACCTTGAATCATCACTGAGGGAAGCTCTACAGCCGGGTGTTCCAGTCAGACCGTTTAGACAGGATGCTGTCACCGTCAGCATGTTCCAGCAGCATGGTGGCCCTACTGGGGAAAGGTAAGGCCTTACATATATAAACTTTATTCATTTTACAACTATTGTGAAACAAGCTATTTCAACTTATATTAATTACTCTTGTTGGCCCGGATGTTAGCGCNAATTGTGAAACAAGCTATTTCAACTTATATTAATCACTCTTGTTGGCCCGGATGTTAGCGCACGAGGGTGTCTTATTGAAGGTCTGCTGATGAAATTGAAACTGGTCCTATGCCGAGGATTTTTACAGTCTTGTAGGTTTTATCTTTGGTTCATTTTATCTCTCCTTTTGCAGGGTGTCTGTGGCCGTGATGCCACGTGACAGTGTGGTAGATACGCGGGCAGGGATAATTCAACGTCTGCGAGACATGAACAGCCAGGCACTGGCTATTGACCAGATGTCAACTAAAATTGAAAGAGAATTCCAGAGTACACACATGGTCAGTATGGCACAGCAGTTTGTATGTAATAGAAGTTAGCTGGACAGGAAACAATAGTGTTAGATGTACATTTTATTTCAAAAGATTTTAAGGACTATCCATCTTTGAGTATTAATCACTAAAACAGTTATCTTTGTCTGCATAAGAAACGTTTTAGGCTACCGTCATGAGATAGTGGGCAGTTCAAATTGCTTTTCATCCATGGCCCATCAGTCCTTAACAATTCTTGTTACTGACATATCTCAAGAAATGCTATACCGATCGTTCTATGTTTTCGTTTTAGAGTTTCATTTTGAGACTGATCGAAAAAAATCAAAAGGGCCGCAAGGCAGCCATAGTATATATTGACAACCAAAGTTTGTTGTTTCTATTCTTGGAGTAGTCTTTGACAGATGTTCTCAAATTTCACAAGTCGGTTCCTTGTGGTCCTTTGTTGTGCATGTTTCATTTTGAGACTTATCTAAGAAAAACAAAATGGCTGCCAAGAGGCCATCTTGAAATTTAACAGTTGAAGTTTGTTATCATTATTTCTCAGAAATTATGAAACAGATCTTTTGAAGTTCCTGTCTAGAATCCTGTTGACTCGGTTCTTAGATATGTGTATTTCCTTAGTTTTTTTCATATTTCCTTTTAAACTTTATGGGCAAACATCTTTTGAGAAAGTAAATTACAGATCTTTATCAAAACACATTTTAAGTGGGTTCATCCTGTTTCCTAGTTTTGCATATAACACATTTTGAGCTTCAAGCGGCTTATTTAGCAAAACATGTGACTGCTAGAAACAAGCTACCATCCCCAGTTCTGTTTTTTACACATGAATTAATATGCTAGTAAATAGGTCAAACAATGACCTTACTTTGAAAAGACAATGTCAAACAAATCAGGTAGTAGGTGTTAAATGTTTGTATGTGTAGATGTGAAATTGTAAGTTTTATGTCTGTACACATAGATGCTGGACACTTTAGAAAACATGGTGGAGGTTGAGGAGACCCAGGAGGGAGACAGGAGTCCTTCCCCTTCAGGTAAAGTCAGTACTAGATCTGGACCAGCCAGTTCCAGGAGTCGTAGTCCCGGACCGAAGGTATCCCACAGGTCACCGGAGGCTACAGCACGCTCGGGCAGTCTTAGTCCTGGGCCTAAAAGGTCCCATAGATCACCAGAAGCTACGGCACGTTCGGCAAGGTCAACTGCTCGCTCAGCACGGAGTCGACACGGAGGAAGGTACGGATGATACATCTGTTGTAAAATTCTTCATGTTAACTTGTTCATTATATTCATTCATAATGAACAGTTACAGATATCTCTGATGTATATTGATTTATCAAGAACTGAAAGATGATGGCAGATCACTGTAACTCTATGGTCCGAGAAGTTGAAAATGAAACAAGGTCTGTTTGACGGGCAAACCGCTTGTCCTTCATCCATGCCCTGATTTCTTCCTTCTCTCTGCATCCTCCTTTTCTTTTCTGTAACAGTCTGTCGGTGACAGCGGTCTGCCCGTCAAACAGGCCTCGTTTCATTTTCAACTTTTTCGGACCATACAGTAATATTACTGTGTAAAATAGATCTTTTCAATGTTTCAATAAAAATAACGACTTTCCATATGGATTGAAATATCAATACATGAGTGATGACACTTATATTTACATTTTGATTTCTGTGTGACAGCCCGGATCTGGTTGGTATGTCGGGTCTTTCTGGAATCAGCGACATCATCGGAGAAATGGTCCAGCGTGGTGAAATTGACCTGGAGGATGCGGGCTACACACCCAAAGAGGCTGAGGAGTTTGCCAGAAAGGTCAAACTGAGGTAAGCTTATACTGAAGTAGGTTTGAAAACAAAACTAACATAAACTTAAAGGTCAAGCTGGGAAAAGCCTAAAGGTTAGCCTGAGTTAGGCTTTAAAGGACAAGCAGGGAGACTCAAAGGTCGAAGTAAGATATGCTCGAAGATCATATTAAATATAGAGTTGAAAGTCCAACTGAGGTAGTTTCAAGGTTAAAGTGAGATTTGCTTGACGGTCAAATGACACATTGCGATATTTCTATCAAATATCGATATTAAACGATGTTAAGAGAAATGTTAAAACATATTGAATGTACTGTTAATCCAGTATTTTCAGTAATTTGACTTTTTTTTAGTTCTATGTTTTGTACTCAAAAGATTTTTATTTTTTTATTTTATTCTTTGATACACTTTTAAATGTTTTTGATTGCTATGTTGTTAATGATAAACAAATATTTTTTACAAGGCTTTCTTGTTTTTGTTTTGAAACTTTTATTGAACTTAAAAATATATTTGAAAGGTTGCAATATATTGCAATATATATTGCAATGATTAAGAAATATCGTAATAGATCGCAATATCAAAATCTTGGCAATACCCAACCCTAGTCAAATGTAACATTTTCCAAGCATCTCTGCAAGGATTCAAACGTAGGGTGATAAATTTCTGTTTCACTTCTCCATTGATTCGATGAACAGAAAAAATTATCTAGGGAAACAGTAGCAAGTGGTTTTGTTGCGACATATAAACTACGTACTGTACACTCCCATGAAAAATTCTGTTATTCTGGAGAACATCTGTGCTTTTGAGAGGAAGGTTAAGGAGATTAATCGCACACTCTACCTTAGTAATACATTGGCATCAATCACAATATTCTATCTGATTTCCTTTAAGTGTCTCTGTATACTGTAAACCGGGAAATTTTCACCGCAGTTTTGACTTCACCTTTTTCGCCCTCCGTGATGAGGACGAGTTTATCGTAGGAGCGTACATTAGTAAACAATATATTAAACATAGCTATCAAATGTAAAGGGCGAAAATTATAACTTAGTGAATACAGATTTTCCAGCATTAAAGACAAAAGTTTCCCGTAATACAGTATCTTGAAACTCCCTATGTTTTGTACGAGCCTTACATGATTTGTTTGACCTTTCGATTGTACAATATATGTTTGACCCGCACTAACTATTACAGTGTGAGGAGTGGACGATCCCCGGACAGGGAGCTTCTACAGAAAAGTCTGGAGCTGCTGGAGAAGATGGGTGTCAAAGCAAAACCTGGAAAGGAAGAGGATGATGATGAGAGGAAGGAGGAAATCAGGACATGGATGAAAGACAAGCGGTCTGCCCGTCAGGAAGACTACTTACGCAAACTTGCAGAATTGCGGGAACATGAACATAAGCCCTTCAAACCAGGCCACGATACGAGCTTTAGGGTGAGTGCTTTTGTTGGGTTTCGTGTGGATTGGTTTGGAGTTTGAGTGACTGAAATTAAATTTTTCGTGTTACATAAAAACTATGTTTTCCAATTTCCTTGCCCTACTTAACAAGGTGTGATGTGTTGTATTTAATTTTCAAGTATTTTCTCTAGGGTCCTGCAAATGAATTGAAAAAGGACAGGAAGACAGCAGGAAAAGAAAATATGGACAGACGTTTGGAGGACGCTCGGAGCCTTATAGCAGACATCATTACTGATAAACCTAAACTCCCCAAACAAGTTCCTTTGCGCGAGATAAGTCCCAAGCGAAGTCGAGTATCCCAGGCGAGAATGGACTACAGTCCCCGTCGCAAGACTATGACCCTGTCTCCAACCCAGTCGAGGAGACAGGCCAGTCCCAAACGACAGCCTGTCCAACATTCTCCAGACCGCAGGGAGACCAGTCCCAAGAGACAGACAGTTACTATAACAACAGACATGCCCACAGAGTACAGGCCAGGAGTGACACAGAGTAGTCGACGTGTAGCATATGATGACCTTCCAGCAAACCCCGTCAAGAGACAGGGAATCATGAAGCCCAGCCGGGACTATAGTCCTCCTGAGGTCGCTCAAGGTCACCCAGGAGTCCCGAGGCTGCAGTTGATAGATTCTGGAGAAATTCTACATAAATCCATGGAAACCACAGGTGGTAAGTCACTTATGTATAAATATCATGTGAAAATACAGAATTTTAATGTTTATATTTTCATTTCTTTGTAGTTTTCTGCTGTTATGATATGTTGTGTACAATATACTTATCAATGTCTTATTTTGTGGTTGTAACTAAACTTATTGTTTGCTTGTTCCTGCAGTCTGAAGTACTAGATTGGACACGCAGACAAAAAATTTAATTTAAAGAATCTCATCTGTATTGGTGTTCATTTAACTATTAAATTTAGCAGAGGTTATTTTAAAATAAATAATTTATTGCAGGGTTTATGAAACAGTGCTGTTTGCATTGTTTGTTACGATATACACCTGTTAAAGTACACGTGTATTCTACAACTGTCCTTATTTATGGGAAATGAAAGGTGTTATACTCTGTCACTTGTGATTTCAGGTGAAATATCAGCCTACGCCAAGGCTGTTGAGGCGATGGAGGTGACTAAGAGTGACGACATGTTTATATCGGAGCGCTTCGTACCGTCGCCAGAACCAGAGCCTCGTAATTACAAACCCAAGCCGTTCCACCAAGTGGTGAAAGTCCAGAGGCCGGAGATGACCAGGAAGTATCGCCAGTCCAAGGTTGCACCTGTTGTCACGGAGGCAGACATCAGAGATTACCATGACGATGACCAGACCACAGCCAGGTCTATGAATTCATCGAAAGAACTGACCATGGAGGAAAAACAGAAAATTTATGGTAAAGTTTTGCTTTTCCTTGCTCTCAGCTGTTACAAGTATATCTCTACAAATATGTACTTTATACCGGGACATTTTTACCCAGTCAAACTTTTGCCCTTCGCCCATGAAATAAATTTTCGCCCAGTGTTAATTTCGCCCTTCACATTTGATTTCTATGTTTATTATGCTGTTTACTTATATTTGATTTGATGATTTTACAGAGGGCAAAAAAGGCAAAAATTAAGCTGCAGCGGTTTAATGATGAATTCGCCCTCATTACAGAGGGCGAAAAGGCAAAAATTAAACTGCAGCGAAAATGTCCCCGACATACAGTATTATATATACTTACAAATATTGATAAAGATTTTGGAATCATTTTGTATTCGTTACACTGTTATGTACTTAATAGCTATGAGAAGGTTGCAATGTTGTAACAAATATTTACTTTCATTTCATATTTCTAATTACCTCGGGCAAAAATGTCGAATGATATTCTTCATTTTATATTAAATAAAACATGATACATGCAATGGTGATAATCTTGAGACATTGTTTCATTAACAGATAGTTACTAAACAGATTCCAATGCATGAGTTTTGACGCTCAAATTACACTAAACTTTCATTTATATGTAGGTTCTAAGAGGCTGCCTGCTCCCAGTAGAATCCCTGTTGCCTCCCCGAGGACAGTGAAGACCTACACAGAACGACTGCAGGAGATGAAGTCCAAACCGCCAGCCTTCACCCAGCCCATTATGCCTCGCTCCCACAGGCCTGGAGGAGGCTCAGGTAAATATGTTTCCATTGCAACTATTGGAACCACTCATTTGACACATATTCAAAAAAAATATAAGGATTCGATTGTCAATTTGTCAAGTAAACTTTTCTTGGGAATTTGGGTAGTTCCGCTAGGCCTGAAGTGGGAAACACCATTTTCTATTAGTACAGATTAATGAAGTATTTTAAGTATATAAAGGAAAGTGCTGTAGTATTTCCTCAAATATCCTTTAAAATTTTACCCTTTCATATTTGTTTATCAATAGGGACTGAATCTTTTCGCCTGATAATAGACAGAGAAACTGACATCTGTGGTCATGTAATGTCATCTATTACAGCATGTCAGGGGTCATTGTACTGTCAGGTTTTACTGTAGTGTGTTGTGTCAGATCAGTGAAACATACAACTTAACAACTAACTTGTTTCATAGTAGTACTCCAGGAGCAAAATAGAAATGATCAAATAGAAATGATCAAACAGAAATGATCAAATAGAAATAATCAAACAGAAATGATCAAATAGAAATGATCAAATAGAATCGATCAAACAGAAATGATCAAATAGAAATGATCAAATATCAAATAGAAATGATCAAAGTGTTGTTCCAGTATAAGACCTTTCAGCTGATAAGTTGAACATTTTAATGGTAATACTGTTGTGTTACAGTGAGGAGTTCCCAGGTCACAAGTGTGTCACGGAGGAGGACCGGGCCGCCACACAAGCCGCTCAGCTACGTCGAGCGTCTACAGAAACTCAGTGAGGGTACCCACAAACCCAGAGGTAAGGGCCTGTCTGTCTGGTGTTTGTAATGTACACAGTATCAAATCCTACATACCATCAGACTCTTGATAGAGCTGGGTATCAGCAAATATTTGTGGATTGATCCAGTGGTGCTGCCACTGGTCTTCCATGCATAAGCTGGGAATTATTGATATGTTATCTTCTGCTCGTCAAACAACTCTTCAAGCTTGCTACATTCAGGATTACATTTTGTTTAGGAGTTCACTTAGAAAATGATATTTATGTATACTTTCATCATTAGATTTTAAATTGTGCATTGCAAAGTTTAATTTTAATACCTGTTGATATTTTGGGATAAGAGATGAAACAAGTTGACAGGGGTAAACATAATCACACACTTTATACAATTGTGAGATTATAGCAGTACGGATATTCGACAAAATTGCGAACAAGACAATTTTATAGCACTGTATGAATAGGTATTTACCCAAATGAACCTGAAAATAGCCAGCCTCAATCAATTCCGTATACTATCGTGATAACTAAATTGCAGATATAATTCATAACTTAATATTCTAATTATAAATACACATAAAAATGAGTAGCTATACAGTTGTTTACACTCTAACAATGTTCCCTGTGTTTTCTAGCTGCCACTGGCCGGGTGAAAACAGCCACTTTCATGAGGTCACACAAGCCGATCCACAGACCACAGACTTACGCGGAACAGCTTCAGTCTCTACAGCCTAAGCCAGGTAAGTCTGCGATCTACTCTCCTTTCTTTTCAGCTCGTTTTTGGTTCTTAAAGCTTTTCAGTTCAGCTGGACATGTAAAGATTTGTAGCTGTCGTACTGCTCATAGCAAAGCGGTTTCTAATATAAGTTTTTGGAAAATGATTTTTTCCAGGTTATTGAAGTCAAAATGAACAAGTTCAACTTGTACATACTAAACTGGGAAATTTTTGCTGCAGTTTAACCTTCACTTTTTTTTGCATCTGTAATGAGGTCAAGGTTATCTTGACAGCAATTATAAGAACACAACATTCCACTTAAAGTAATTACATGTATATGTGAATGGCAAACTTAATACTGGGCAAAATTAATACCAGTTTTACTGGTGACAAGAGAATATTTTACTGGGTGAAAGTTTGCTGGTATAGAGTAGTTATAATGGTGTTCCTATACATCTCTGGTAGTCGATGAAATAGTGATAAAATAGTGAATAGCTACAGATTTCTATTGTTTGAAGTTTGGATATCAGCCTTTTCTTTATAAATTAAATTAAAAGCCAACTTTGTTACAAGTCATTTAATCTGCATATCCTTGTAGTAGATTTTTTGAAAATGCATAAATTAGATTGTCATCATCTGGTGGCTTTGGTGCTTTTGGTCTGGCTGTAGTTCAGCAGCAGAAACATGGTAGCTCCAGATATTACCACCTGTGTTGAAGCAGTGTACTGACAACATATATCCTCTTACTACTTACAGTTAAGAAGATAGCACCAGCCCGAGGACAGCCTCGAATGCGTCCCTACGCTGACCCGTACAGAACGGGAGCACCTGATGAGGGAGACTCGGTTATCAGCGACTGGTCAATGGATGATGATGTCAAACGTTTGCTGTATGAGGATGATGCTAGCTCAGCAGTAAGTTTATAACATTATGTGATTTGTGAATGTCTAACATGTTGTGATCGTAAATTCCAGAAATGCTATTACAGTGGTGTACTGTTTATACAGTCAAAGTTTAACTGAATCCCTTTGTCATGTTCTCTGTTTATTACGAACAGAATTAGATGTTACATGTTATACTGAAGTATCGAACCAAATAGAAATTTTTCAACTGAATAGCAACAGCAACTAGCATGAATCAAGTCTGTTATGTTTTTGTGAGGACTTATATGATAATTTGTTTTACTCCTTACCAGATGCCTGGTCAGTCTGTTGACCATCCGATGTCACGAATGTCTGGCATGGACTACCCGATGTCCGAGGGCGTGTCCGACTACTATGATGTGATTATGGACAGTAACGAGTACGTGGAGTCCGTAGACATTGACGAAATCAACAGGATTGCTTACGCTGCATCTGTGAGCTCCGGCAGTGTTATGAGTGTAATTGACTGGGACGCCATTGATAACCTCATCTCGGACGTTAAGTAGAGAAGTGATAAATCGAAGAAATGATAAAACAACATCTCTTACGTCGAGTGTGATCTCAAAATATCCAATAATTCTCATCTCAGCTGTTAAAGGGAACAAGGGAGAGATCAAACTTTAACATAGGGTGAAAACATAGGTTGAGATCAGAGATATATTAAGTGAAACAATGTATCACATTTCCTCAAGTGTGTATAGAACTCTTAAAGGAATTTTCATGAAATTGATTAAGATCAAATGAAGGTGGAATTGATACTTTAACTGATTTGATTTCCTAAGGAAAAACGATTGAGCATTAAGAGTTTAAATGACGTGTTATGCTAAGGGCTGTTCCAGAATTAAGTATGTGGGAGGAGGGGGGAAAGGACAGGGAGGCATACCATCCACAATATGTTTTTCCTGGCGTACATTTATATACAAATGTCAATACTTGGACCCCACCACCTATATATTTTATCTGGAATAGCCTTGATATAATAAGTTCAATTTAATTTATGTGATTCTTGAAACCACAGACAGTGATAGTGTCCTGGATTTATTTCTGGATATATTTTAAATAATCACAAGGACACTTATCAAACATCGGAGTCAGTGACACTGTGTGTAGTTTATGTACGTGAGAACCGGCAGCCTAACACTTAGCTGAGTATTAACATGACGTGCTATGTCTTTATTCAGCAAGGTGTTTCTACATATTCCTCAAACTTTATATCTTGCCAGGTTACGGCATGAAACTATCTGTGATATGAAAGATGAAATAAATCTATCAAACATAACATGTAATTATAGATGTTGGATCAGATGTGTACCAGTGTATGTTTGTGATGAGTGTATGCTTATTAATGGTTGATTGTGTATCTATTTATAGTAGATCTCTGTGACATGCTAGTAAAACCACGATTCACTTAACATGTAAATTGAACGATACAACCTGTCTAGAAAGCCCAAGTTACCTCTTATTCCAAATTCAGTATGTCTGTGTCTTGTAGTCCTGTATGATAGGTTTAAAATTGAATGCACTTTTATTGGCTAGCTAGTAAGATCACATGTAACAGTGTATCATTTATGTTTTAGCGGTAGAATCCGTCCTTGTTTTGAAATGTTTATTGTTTTAATGTTTTAGTGGAGGATTCCGTCCATGTATTGATGTTTTAGGGCCTAAGTATTTAATAGGTAGATTCCATCCATGCTTGATTGCAGATTCTTGTATTTACATCAATCATGTTGGAAAAAACAACATTTCATATATTACGCAAGATAATTCAAGTTTACTTGTGTTTATTAGATTTCTATTTTATTTATTTATCTGAAAATAAAAATGAAAACAAAAACATTTTCTGTTGTATTAGTCTTTTCTTAATTTGAGAATGAAATTTCCCACTGGATATAGTAATGACTTGGGCCAAACACATTGGTATAATGCTCATTGCATTTCTGACAGAGTCACATCTTGTGTTCAGCAGCAGTTTTGAAGGAGGTGTCCAACACATTTTAATGTTGGCAATGTTTATAGGTTACGAAATTGTAGAAAATCCAGTAATCTCGCTGTGGTTCTCCAGTACAGAGGATAGAGAGGGCCTCCTCATGCTACCTCTCAGTCTGGTCCCAGTAGAATATCCAGTACAGAGGATAGAGAGTGCCTCCTCTTGCTCCCTCTCAGTCTGGTCCCAATAGAATATCCAGTACAGAGGATGGAGAGGGCCTCCTCATGCTACCTCTCAGTCTGGTCCCAGTAGAATATCCAGTACATAGGATAGAGAGGGCCTCCTCATGCTACCTCTCAGTCTAGTCCCAATAGAATATCCAGTACAGAGGATAGAGAGGGCCTCCTCATGCTACCTCTCAGTCTGATCCCAATAGAACATCCAGTACAGAGGATAGAGAGGGCCTCCTCATGCTTCCTCTCAGTCTGATCCCATTAGAATATCCAGTACAGAGGATAGAGTGGCCCGCCTCATGCTTCCTCTCAGTCTGGTCCCAATAGAATATCTAGTACAGAGGATAGAGAGTGCCTCCTCATGCTCCCTCTCAGTCCAATGGGAAAACAATAACCGCCAAGTGTCCAGAGGTCAATAAAGCCACATCATGACTAGACATTGTACCAGTAGACAAATCCACACAGTGACCAAAGATTCCTCCTGGTCCCAGTAGACAGACCCACACAGTGACCATGAATCCACCTGGTCCCTGTAGACAGACCCACACAGTGCCCAAAGAATCCTCCTGGTCCCTGTGAACAGACCCACACAGTGACCATATAATTCCCCTGGTCCCTGTAGACAAACCCACACAGTGACCAAAGAATCCTCATGGTCCCTGTAGACAGACCCACACAGTGACCATCCTCATGCTACCTCTCAGTCTGATCCCATTAGAATATCCAGTACAGAGGATAGAAAGTGCCTCCTCATGCTCCCTCTCAGTCTGATCCCAATAGAACATCCAGTACAGAGGATAGAGGGGGCCTCCTCATGCTCCCTCTCAGTCTGGCCCCAATAGAATATCTAGTACAGAGGATATAGAGTGCGTCCTCATGCTTCCACTCATTCTGGTCTCAATAGAATATCCAGTACAGGGGATAGAGAGGCCCTCCTCATGCTACCTCTCAGTCTGATCCCAATAGAATATCCAGTACAGAGGATAGAGTGGCCCGCCTCATGCTTCCTCTCAGTCTGGTCCCAATAGAATACCCAGTACAGAGGATAGAGAGGGCGTCCTCATGCTACCTCTCAGTCTGATCCCATTAGAATATCCAGTACAGAGGATAGAGAGTGCCTCCTCATGCTCCCTCTCAGTATGGTCCCAATAGAATATCCATATCCAGTACAGAGGATAGACAGGGCCTCCTCATGCTCCCTCTCAGGCTGGTCCCAATAGAATATCCAGTACAAAGGATAGAGAGGCCCTCCTCATGGTTCCTCTCAGTCTGGTCCCAGTAGAATATCCAGTACAAAGGATAGAGAGGCCCTCCTCATGGTTCCTCTCAGTCTGGTCCCAGTAGAATATCCAATACAGAGGATAGAGAGGCCCTCATCATGCTCCCTCTCAGTCTGGTCGCAATAGAATATCCAGTACAGAGGATAGATAGCGCCTCCTCATGCTCCCTCTCAGTATGGTCCCAATAGAATATCCATATCCAGTACAGAGGATAGACAGGGCCTCCTCATGCTCCCTCTCAGTATGGTCCCAATAGAATATCCAGTACAAAGGATAGAGAGGCCCTCCTCATGCTCCCTCTCAGTCTGATCCCAATAGAACATCCAGTACAGAGGATAGAGAGGGTGTCCTCATGCTCCCTCTCAGTCTGATCCCAATAGAATATCCAGTACAAAGGATAGAGGGTGCATCCTCATGCTACCTCTCAGTCTGATCCCAATAGAACATCCAGTACAGAGGATAGAGGGGGCCTCCTCATGCTCCCTCTCAGTATGGTCCCAATAGAATATCCAGTACAGAGGATAGATAGGGCCTCCTCATGCTCCCTCTCGGTCTGGTCCCAGTAGAATATCCAGTACAGAGGATAGAGGGGGCCTCCTCATGCTCCCTCTCAGTCCAATGGGAAAACAATAACCGCCAAGTGTCCAGAGGTCAATAAAGCCACATCATGACTAGACATTGTCCCAGTAGCCAAATCCACACAGTGACCAAAGATTCCTCCTGGTCCCAGTAGACAGACCCACACAGTGACCTAAAGATCTCCCTGGTCCCTGTAGACAGACCCACAGAGTGACCAAAGAATTCTCCTGGTCCCTGTAGACAGACCCACAGAGTGACCAAAGAATTCTCCTGGTCCCTGTAGACAGACCCACAGAGTGACCAAAGAATTCTCCTGGTCCCTGTAGACAGACCCACAGAGTGACCAAAGAATTCTCCTGGTCCCTGTAGACAGACCCACAGAGTGACCAAAGAATTCTCCTGGTCCCTGTAGACAGACCCACACAGTGCCCAAAGAATCCTCCTGGTCCCTGAAGACAGACCCACACAGTGACCAACAGAGGATAGAGAGGCCCTCCTCTTGCTCCCTCTCAGTCTGGTCCCGATAGAATAACCAGTACAGAGGATAGAGAGGGCGTCCTCATGCTCCCTCTCAGTCTGATCCCAATAGAATATCCAGTACAGAGGATAGAGAGGACCTCCTCATGCTCCCTCTCAGTCCAATGGGAAAACAATAACCGCCAAGTGTCCAGAGGTCAATAAAGCCACATCATGACTAGACATTGTACCAGTAGACAAATCCACACAGTGACCAAAGATTCCTCCTGGTCCCAGTAGACAGACCCACACAGTGACCATCCTCATGCTACCTCTCAGTCTGGTCCCAATAGAATACCCAGTACAGAGGATAGAGAGGGCCCCCTCATGCTTCCTCTCAGTCTGGTCCCAGTAGAATATCCAGTACATAGGATAGAGAGGGCCTCCTCATGTTCCCTCACAGTCTGGTCCCAATAGAATATCCATATCCAGTACAGAGGATAGACAGGGCCTCCTCATGCTCCCTCTCGGTCTGGTCCCAGTAGAATATCCAATACAGAGGATAGAGAGGCCCTCATCATGCTCCCTCTCAGTCTGGTCGCAATAGAATATCCAGTACAGAGGATAGAAAGGGCCTCCTCATGCTCCCTCTCAGGCTGGTCCCAATAGAATATCCAGTACAGAGGATAGAGAGGGCCTCCTCTTGCTCCCTCTCAGTCTGGTCCCGATAGAATATCCAGTACAGAGGATAGAGAGGCCCTCCTCATGCATCCTCTCAGTCTGGGCCCAGTAGAATATCCAATACAGAGGATAGAGAGGCCCTCATCATGCTCCCTCTCAGTCTGGTCCCAATAGAATATCCAGTACAGAGGATAGAGAGGCCCTCATCATGCTCCCTCTCAGTCTGGTCCATATAGAATATCCAGTACAGAGGATAGAGAGGGCCTCCTCATGCTCCCTCTCAGTCCAATGGGAAAACAATAACCGCCAAGTGTCCAGAGGTCAACAAAGCCACATCATGACTAGACATTGTCCCAGTAGACAAACCCACACAGTGACCAAAGATTCCTCCTGGTTCCAGTAGACAGACCCACACAGTGACCAACGAATCCTCCTGGTCCTTGTAGACAGACCCACACAGTGACCAAAGAATCCTCCTGGTCCCTGTAGACAGACCCACACAGTGACCTTAAGATCTCCCTGGTCCCTGTGGACAGACCCACACAGTGACCAAAGAATCCTCCTGGTCCCTGTAGACAGACCCACACAGTGACCTAAAGATCTCCCTGGTCCCTGTGGACAGACCCACACAGTGACCAAAGAATCCTCCTGGTCCCTGTAGACAGACCCACACAGTGACCAACGAATCCTCCTGGTCCCAGTAGACAGACCCACACAGTGACCTTAAGATCTCCCTGGTCCCTGTAGACAGACCCACACAGTGACCAAAGAATCCTCCTTGTCCCTGTGAACTGACCCACACAGTGACCAAAGAATCATCACTATCAGCAGGTAACAAGTAAGAGAATAGTGGATCTCTGTCAAACTCGATACAAATGTTGATTATGATTGCAGCTAGAAATAATAAGGATGCCAAGGTCAAGGCCAAGGTCACTGTATGTCTAGGTCATCATTTAGTGACCTCATTTCTGAAATCTTTCTTATCAGACTGCATACATTTAACAATATATCCAAAAGTAGATACTTCAGTATTCCAATTGGATTAGTAATTTATCATGAATACCATACAAATAGTTTCTAACTTAAAGTGACCATGTCACAATCTGTCGAATACAATTTGTAATGACTCAAGTATGTTTGAAGCCATGTTTATGTTATCATTATTAATGCATAAGCAGAGCAGAATTCAACGTGTTTGACAGGGTCAGAGGTAATATCTACACTATAAATGTGCTTTCATCTTAATTGATAAAGATGTATTATGTCATCTGGTATGCTAATTGACTTAATATATTTTTAATTGACATTATATAAATCTTTGAATTTTTTACGGCACTGAAGAAAATAAAATTTTACTTCTTTTTGTTATATTTTACACCATTCACACCCCGAGTGTGGCATTAACGGAAAGTTAATAACTTTTGCTTTGTAAATGCCAGCTTGATCCTGCTGATAAGAAAAAGGAGCAAAGATTTGTGTCAATGTACCTTAATGTAGCACCTAGCGGTTTACCAGAGACAGTATATGATATATACATCTGTGTACATGTGTAAATGCATTAAAAAAAGAAAACCATGAATGATAACGGAAAACAGTGGGAACACACTTTTGATATTAAAAACTCTGATATGTGTTATCATTCTCTATATTAAATACTTATCAATTTTATTAAATAATGTTTTTAATTTATGAAATTATATAAGAAATCAGGATATTTTTATATGACCATTTTCTATCTTACAATTGCTTAACTCACTTCCGTACACAAAACAACATGGCGGTACTGGGCACTAGTTCCCCGTACACTAGTCGTATTTTAGCGGCTCTTTTCTACGGAACAGCTTCATTTTTGATTATTGTGTGCAACAAAGTGGTGTTAACAACATACAAGTGAGTAACAATTTGTTTTAACTTAATTAGCCGTCTCATTTAAGTACTACCTCACTTAAAACTCGCCGCAGTCAGTATCATTTTATCATACTGCAGCACCCCCGTATTTACGGTTAACAGAACAATTTCCTATGTATAGTACTGCACAGTTAACGCCCGTGCATATTACCTTACTGGTAAAACATTAAAAAAGTAACTTTCAAGCAAATAAAGTATACATCTTTTTGGCCATCTGTTTTTAGAATCTGTGCTGAACATGTTACAGTAATTCTGTGCATTGCTAGTTTTATAATTTTAAATACCGTTTCAAAAAAGATATGGCAAAACTTCGCCAATTCCTTATTTCCTGTGAGTTTATTCTTTTTTACCTTCTTTGAAGTATCTGTTTCTGTCATTAAAAATAGTCATGAGAAATGAGAAAAAAAAATCACACCCTTCTCATAAAATATACCATAGAGTGTGATTTTTTTTCTCATGACTATTTTTATTGACAGAAACAAATGCCCGTGATCACTGCTCAATGCTGCGACTCTTGTCACTGGGGATGAAGGTCCAAAACTATTGATCGATTTTCGAAAATATATTGTACTGTAAAAAATCATTAAGTAACCTTGTATATATATTGTATGCAACAAACATAAGCTACCGGTATATAGAGTTTTAATTAAGTCACATCTAAGGAAAAAATGCAGTTTTATTGGTGAAGGAAAAACCACAGGGGAGTGGCCTAGTACTGTGACATTTCCTCTATGATCCGTACCAGTCACACTGGAGAATCCGGCGAGTATACCTACCCCAACTGGGGTGTATCAATATTCTAGTATAGATGCAAATATATACAGATAAGTTAATCTACCTCTGAAACATTGCTTATGTCTGAGCAATCACTGCTTGTGATCATGTACAATCTATAGAACCCTTCTTGCTAACCTTGAGTTACCCTGACCACTCGGTGGGCCCTATATATAACTCCCTATAGCAATCTAACGAGCTCTCACAGTAACTGTGATCTATCAATGTAGTGGACCCGAAGCAACACAATAGCTCGCCCTTGTAAGGTATGATACTTTCGATTGAGCGATCGTAATGGGTAACAGTCTTATTCAGACATACCCCATCATTGAAAGTTCGCTCTCTAGTATACTAACAAATACCAAGTAGTGGTCCTTTCCCCGTATCGCTTCTAACACAGAAAGGCAAATGGCCGTGGCTCACGCTGTCTGAGAGGCCACAGCCTAAAGGCACGCACGTTTTGGCCGACTTATATACCCATAGGCCCCGCCCTTCTTGTCAATCACCCGGAGAATGTCCACATCACCTATGTGTTTTAACCGGGGCTAGGTCAAGGCCAGCTCTACCTGCGTAAATAACATGGAGAATGCACAGGAGATTTACAAATAAAAACAAGCTCGGTAGGTTCATCACAGAACTAATATTACCCTGTAACACTCGGCCTCCTCTTTTCGTCGTCAGAAGCTGCATTATCGCAGCTAGGGAGTCGCCATGACCTATTGGAGAGACAACCAACCCTATCAGACATCACTCTCCTTTTCCACCACATACAGCTGGAGATCACACCAATATTCTTGAGAGTGAGTGGTCGAAACCTCAAGCTTGATAGCATATATATAGGGTAGTATACTATACTAACTGTGCAACAAAGTGATAATTGCTTTCAAAGCAGTGGGTATATATACACCTTGCAACATATTTTATATGTTATGATAAGAATGCCAACTGTAGTGTGACAGTGTAACAGGAAAGGAAAAAAACTCAGCCAGAACGGAACTCCAACCTGAGACCTGCAAACTCTAGACAGATGCTAGCACTGATGTTCGCTGGCAGTTGAAACAGTCTAGTTCCACTTCATTCCTCCCTTCTTATCAAAATCGTTGACACCGAAGACACAAGAGACCCTATACCACCTATACCACCTCCTTCCATGGGTATATTTTATTGGGCACCAAATGTAACGGGAAAGGAACATGCAACAGCCAGAGTGTGATTTAAACCCAGGACCTCCATACACTAGACCGATGCTCTAACCAATTTAACTACCTGGTGGGTGGTAATTGATCAAGACCAGTTCCACTACAATATTAGGTGTTCATTGCAAATTTGATTGCTTAAAGCCTCCCCATACTTTTTTTGACATTTATAATTCACTACTTTTTCAGGTTTCCATCATTCCAGTTTTTGGCATTTGGACAGGTAAGAAAATGTTTTTTGTGACATTTAGCTTTAACAAATAGACATGCCCTTTCAAACCCAATTAGTCAAACCTTATTCTGGGGGAGTCAAAAATTCTTCTGAGCAGACTTCTAGATTATTCAATGGTTAATTTCAATATGAATCATTACAGTACTAGTGTAATCTTGTTGAATCACCATCTTCTGTCCAGGGTCATTTTGGCAGCAACTCTGTATTCTGCGAAATACCATCGTTGTTTTGGGGGCAATGTCCTCTCATTCTATACCAGTGTTTGTTCAGTGATGAGTTTTGGTCGGTGATAACTGATAATTAAGGAGAAAACAAGGGTTTTTGTTTTTAGGTTTTTTGTATCTTACATGATATGGTAGATGATGATATATACAAGACTGGTGATTTAACACTGTATTTAAGAAGGCTAATATATTTTTTTCCCCTTATTTCTTCCAATATAAAGATATATATATATCTGCATCTCTTTCTGATTCATCTTGTGTATTGGTTAACCCTTTCGTCACACTGTAGACCATAATGGACTCAACCAGATCAATGCATCGTAGAGTTTACTAAAGTTACATGGGGTTGAAAGGGTTAATATAAAACATAGTGATGGTTTAGAAATTACATCATGATGACATACTTACAGATGATAACAGGGATAGTGGTGTTACTAGTTGTCAAACAAGCTGGATTGGTACAGTTTCCAGGGCCGTCAATCGATGTCTTAAAAAAGGTATGTACATGTACAGTATTAAATAGGGCTCATAAATGGCTACGTATATATGGCAGTTTATGAACTGCTCAGTAGCCCAGTAAAAGGAACTCTCGTTTTTGGTGGCTAACTATTAAGTAAACTTGCCACAAAGTCCGAAGTACTGCATGTGATATATTCGTAATGTCATACTGAATCTGTGATGAAACCAGTAAATACTGAAATGATACAAATATATAACCAGTGTAATGTTTATCAGCCATTAAGTAAAGGGAGATAACTTTTACACAGATTATGAAAGTTAATATTCACATTGTGACATCAGGGTCCCTTTCATGTATCTGGTTGGAACTGTCCAGGTAGGACAGAAAATATTCCACAGTAAATGAATGCACCTGGAGAAGAAGTGGTCGACTAATGTGTGTAAATGACTGGCCCTGTTTCTTTATCAGATATGGCCTCTTCCTCTTATCTATATGGGCAACTTGGTGTTTGGATTGGGTGGAACAAAGAAATTAAAGTAAGTAAATTGATATATCTACTTGATTTTGATATATTACATGTAAAATGTAAAAAAAAAAAACCCACCAGACTTTAGCTTTGACATTTTGATGAATTTATGATGTGATGAAGTAATTCAACTTGTTATATACATTAAATATTGCTAACATAATGATTTCAGTTAATTAACAACCCTCGTATGAAAAGGCATTATTATTACACTGTACCAGTGTGAAGAGTTTTACAATACATTTACAAGATTTCTTTCATTTCACAGTTTACCTATGTTTACGATTCTAAGAAGATTTTCCATACTCTTAACAATGATAGCTGAATATTTTGTATTGGGGTAAGTATATTTACTTATTACCATAGATAAAACCTTGTGAATAACTTGTTACTGTATTCTACTGTAGGACCATGGTCAACAATAAGTCCAGTCTCCTGGTTTTAGTAGTTGTACATACAGATACCAGTAAGGTTTATATCAATAAATAAGTTCCCCTTGTTTATAGGGCATCAGTTACAAGATGTGAACCAGTACAACATTTTTAAAGGAAAAAGGTTTCTATAAAACTGAAAGTACATTCTACCTCGTTAATCCAGCCACATCCTTTCCAGTTATCCCACTAACCAGCCTCGTCATTCTAGCCACCACTAATCTGGTTACCCCACCATATGGTTTAGGGGACAGACTCTACTTCTTTTATACAAAATAGTCAGAACAATTCTGCAAGTTTTGCTGAGAACGAAGATAACAGAATAAGGAAGGCTTAGCTATATATTCATTGATTTTCTTTGGTCCATATATTTTGTCATAATGTTTTCTAATATGCTGAAGCCATCTACAGTTTTAGCAGTGTTTATACTCAGCAATAAATACAACATGTAAACCATGCTGTTTCAGGGTGAAGGCCCCCAAAGTGGTCCAGTTCACCGTATTCCTAATGATATTTGGTGCATTAGTAGCTGCCAGGTAAGTAATGGTTAAGTATAGTGTCTTGGGCTGTTTTCGTTTAAACAGTTCAACCGGTCGGACCACAGTTGTTTGTTTATTAACCCTTTCACCACTGTAGACCATAATGGACTCATCCATATCAATGCATGGTGGAGTCTACTAAAGTTACATAGTGGTGAAAGGGTAAAAATAATGTCGGACCTAGTAATCTGATGCTGCTTTCGGGAGAGCCTTGACAATGTCTTGCATAAATATTTGCTAGTCCGCCAGAATTTATACCCTAAAATGTTTCATTCAAAAGCGGCCATACTGGCTGTTCCGCATAAACCAACAAGCCCCTGGTATATACATGTATATATATATATATGGTAGCTTTAGTTACAGTATACCACTAACTGTAACTGTGTGAAGAAAACCAGCGTCACACTCAGAGAGGTTGAGAACAGTGCTAACAACTTCAGAACCTTGTGAATGTGATTTCTCGACACTGTATTGTCAAAAGTGAAATGATGTCATCGATCAAATGATGTCACAGATAGTGTGTCATTTCCTTGCTAACTGGAGCACTACTTCTTGGTCTGCTTCAAACTATACCGTTACTTTATCAGATGTGTACGATGGTATCATGATCAAAAGACTATCACATAATACTCGGTGGATGGTATGAGAAATATCTACATGTCATTAATACAAGTCCCTACACTTTGTTTCACATCTCTGACATTTTCCAATTAATTACCAATCATTAATTCCCTACAAGAACCATAACTTCAAACAAATTGAATTAGGATCTTCAGGACCCTTGCTCCCAATTACAGGTTGCAATTTGAATTTGAAGTCTTTGAAGCTTTACCCCATATTTTTGCAGCATATTTGACTGTCTATAACAATAATCACCCATGAAATGTTGAAGTGCAGGTGTATATTCATGTTGATTCAGTTCAGACGTTGATTTTTGCAGTGATGACCTTGCCTTTGACCTCTGGGGATACATCTTTATTCTACTAAATGACTTTTTCACAGCAGCCAATGGGGTGTATACAAAGAAAAAACTGGAGGCAAAGGTAACCAAACAAAATGGATTTAACCTAAGGTCTCTATAGTGATGTTATATTGTCTCTATAGAGATGTTATACTGTCTCTATAGTGATGTTGTATTGTCTCTATAGAGATGTTGTATTGTTTCTTTAGTGAAATTATTAACTGTAAAATTAGAAATGATATATCCATAATCTGTAAATATATATTTGCATGTGGATAAGTTTGCATCGATTTACTTAACGTGAAAAACCTGAGCATTTCTACACCAGTTCACAAAAAATTGTAAAAAGAATTGTCTGTTTACAGGAACTAGGGAAATATGGTCTTCTGTTCTACAATGCCTTATTTATGGTGGTACCTGTCGGGGTAATTGCATATATGAATGGAGAGTTTGAAAAGGTAAGTAAACTTTGTTGTCATCAGTCGAGTAATTTATTGTTTAACTGCATTGTACTAGTTAATGAATATCTGTATATAATGCCTGAATATTTATCTGGTCTGAAATTTAATTTATGATAATATTTTGCTGCAGTACTTGTAAATTGTCGGATGGTCGGATGGCGCAGTGGATAATACAATCACCTTTTACCAAGGTAGTCAGGGTTCGATTCCCTGACTAGACATGAAAGGTGCGGGGTCACCTGTCTGACCATGAGGGTTTTCTCCAGGTACTCCGGTTACCTCCCACATTAAGACCCACCCCCTGTGTAGTAACATCCGGGCCAACAAAAGTGATCTGTCATTATTGCTGTAAAAAGAAAGTTAATATTTATGAATATTTTTGTGCAATGTAAATGAAATTCTTACCTATCAAATAAAACAATTATCAAATGAAACATTTCTTGTATGAATCCACTTGTAAATACTTAAATTACTTACAGGCCAGGAGTTTTGAAAGTTGGGGCGACCACTGGTTTCTGATGCAGTTTTTGATGTCCTGTGGTATGGGATTCGTACTGAACTACGCCATAGTGTTGTGTACCCAGTATAACTCTGCGTTGACTACCACCATTGTGGGCGTTATAAAGGTAACGAACACTCAGGTTTATCTACTCTGTTTAGCTTGTACATTACTCGGGCCACTTTCGCGTATCCGGTTCAATCGGTTTGTCTGTTTTTAAATGTAACATTTTTTAGTATAAATCCTGTCAGACCTACAATTGTTTATGCAGGCCTTGCAAGGCTTTGTCAAGGCTCGCCTGAAAGCAGCATCAGATTTATAGGTCCGACATTATTTCTTAAACGAACAACTGTGGTCCGACCGGTTGAACCATTTGGATAGCGATGAACGAATGCGGCCTGAGTGTTTATTGAAACAGAGAAACATGCTATTTCCTGTGTTATGTATTTACATTCCTCAAGTCCTATGGAAACACTTTCAGAAGAAATTATGTTCATAGGGCTATGAATGCAGTTGGATATGTCATTTTGATTTTCCTCATCCCTTGGATAATGTAAAATTATCATAAAAAACAAACGTTTAGATGATGTTTTGCTGTTGCAGTTACATTGTTTGTTCTGATTAAATGAACACTTCAGAACCACAGATGGTTTGGAATTTTTATGCAAAGATCACTCGTAACTGTAAATTTAAAAATATAAATATAGTAAGAATGCAAATCAGTTACACTCATATTGCACAAAGCAATAGCAGGTTTGCACAACATGGCTGTGACCACTGTGCATTCATAACAACATGCATGCTAAAAAATATCTGTTCAATCCCTTTATGAAGGCTTTCCCCTTGACCAATTTTAAATAGTTTAAATGCTTGTCTGTCTACAGAATCTGTTGGTGACATATATAGGCATGTTCCTCGGAGGGGACTACATATTCAGTACCATCAATTTTATAGGATTGAATATAAGGTGAGAGTCTGTGTTTTCTCTATATATTACGTAAGGTAAGTAAGATCTGTATATGAATCACATGTCTGTAGATAATAAAAATAAAGTAAGGAACAGTCAGTGTCGTACAAATTGTCAAGCTGTAGATTTTGAGTTACAAATTTGTACATCTATCACTGACAAATATTTCAAAGAACTTTTTATAAACATGTATTTGATGTACTACAAGTACTTAGAGATTTTTTAATTAAATTTGTATTATTTTCAAAATGTCACTGATAATTAACTGTGGCACTGACCCAATTTGTAAAAAGAAAAGAATATCAGGTGAAAATCTTTACTGGTTTCTCTCATAAACTTTGGCTAAATATCAATCAATGGACGACTATCTTCAAAGTTGATATTTTCTATCTATCCTGTAAAGATGTAACAGTTATAGATATTCAGCTTACGGGAGCTATTGGTGATATCCATCCTTTTATCATACCTGTGATAAAGTGTTTAGAAAGACTAATTATTGGAGTTATTCCCCTTTGTTACAGTGTCTCTGGGAGTTTAGTGTACAGTTATGTAACTTTCAAGAAACCACAGGAAAAAAGTGTTCAACCAACGGAAGCTACGCAGAAGTCTGAGGCAACTATGGTATGAAAAGCATATCACTGTCCGAGCATGCACAGCCTGAAGGAAGACAAATATAATTTAAGACTTAAAATTAGTTATTCATGTACATGTGTGTTTTATTTATTACAATGTACATAGGCTAAGTGAAATGTTCTTATTTTGCTTCTGTTAAGTTTTAAATGGTGCAGTATGTGGACTTAATTACCTACATGTACTTATATGTTATATGTTATAGTATGTATAACATCAGAACCACAATACAAGGTACTCGAGTCACTCTGTTAACGTGCCTGGAAGTTGATTCTACCGGGTAATTGGTGCTAAGAACAACAAAAATATATGTGTGAATTGTGGAAGTGTGTTGTAAATTCTTGTCATTTATCCAATGTATGTATATTGTGTGGCAATCTGATTAAACCAGATCTTAATTAGTTCCACTTAACTATTACTGTGTGAACCATGAAATAGCAATACTGATCAAATACATTACAGACCGAGATCAAAACTACAGGTAAGTAGTAAGTTACATACGTTAAACATATTGTTTTGTCCACAGCTTTTTAAGTTCAGTTCAATTTCCTGCCAAACATACTCTCCCTTTACTGCATGTATGTGTTTCAGTTTATCCTGTCTCACTTTTGTAGCTCGTCTCGTAACATGGACGTGGGTTTCCCACCAAATATCATTCATTTCACAAGTATGATATAATATTCAGATTTTTAAAGAGTGTATACAGATGAAATTATTCAAAATAGGTTTACATTTAGATGAAATATATGTTTTTCAGTGGGATATTGTTATGTCTCCCCTTTGAATGAAGGGAGACATATTGTATTAGTACTGGTTCTTCTTCTTCTAATTGCAACTTGTCCGGACCATAACTTTTAAACTGTTTAAGATATCTTGATGAAACTTCAGGTATGCATGCATCACCCACAGAANCCTTCTGGTTCTTCTAATTGCAACTTGTCCGGACCATAACTTTTAAACTGTTAAAGATATCTTGATGAAACTTCAGGTATGCATGCTTCACCCACAGAAGGTGTGTAATGCACTGGAATTAGGTCACTGTGACCTCCACCTCAAGGTCAAAGGTCAAATATTATAAGTGCAACATTTTCAGTAAATTCTTGCTCGGCCCTGAAATTTAAAACTGTTTAAGATATCTTGATCAAATTTAAAGTATACCTGCATTACAGAAGGTGGACAGAGCACTGAAACTAGATCTCGTGCCCCACTATATACAGAGTTATGGCCCTTTGTTTATTTTTAATACCTAAGTTTGTCCGGAGCATAAGTTCCATGTTATGTCACCTACATTGACCGAACTTACCATATTTATGTATCTTGGAAAGGTGGAATCTCTCGTACTAAATTCAGTGCAGTGCACTGGAATTAGGTCTCATGCCCCACTATATAAAGAGATATGTCCTTTCAAACAGAGTTTGTTATCGCCTCATTAAATGCTGGTTTTTATCTCTCCTGTTAACATTAATTTTTATCTCCCCTTTATACAATGATTGTTATCTCCCCTTTGTACAATAATTTTTATCTCCCCTATATACAATGATTGTTATCTCCCCTTGTGCAATATTTTTATCTCCCCTTTATACAATGATGGTTATCTCCCCTTTGTACACCTATCATTACCTCCCCTTTCTACAGCTGTTGTGATGTTACTCTATAGCTATAAAGCCATTCTATTGATAACTATTAGTAACACCCTGCATGTTTGAAAAGCTGCTACCACAGCCAACTCTGATGAGATAACTTCGAGGGCGACCCCTTTATGTTTCTTATTATACACGTTTAACAATAATCAACCATCTAAATATTTATGATTAAAATGTGTCTTAAAGTGACATTTCTACATAATATTTATTAAAAAAATTGTATCAATGATGGGAATAACGAAATATTTAAGCAACAATACAAATAATCTTACTATGCAAGAGATGTTTTGCCTTGAGGGGCTAGCTACACAAGGATTGATATATGCTCATTGGGTACCCCAAAGGCTGAGCAGCTTTTTGGATGCTTCCATGATTTACAATGTAACATCTTCCAGCTACCAGGCATACTTCTTTACTAAACTAATCAAGCAAGCTGATTGCATTTTGCTTTTTCCAGTAGTCCGTTTTTCACAACACGTTTCCGTTAATACTAATAGTGATCTCTTGTGTTCGATCCAGGATTAATTCATGAAATTATTCTCGATATATCAGGAACATATTTAAGACTTTTTATAAGTATGGAGTCATGTAAAAATTTTGCTTTGACATGTTAAAATAGTACATCAGGTTTGAAATACATGGATGTATAGTCTTTGCAATGGCTATGTAGAACCAGGGAATTGATTTGTAACCAGGGGATTGTTGTGGAACCAGGGGATTGTTGTGTAATAAGGGGATTGTTGTGTAATCAGGGGATTGTTGTGTAATAAGGGAATTGTTGTGTAACCAGGGATTGTTGTGTAATCAGGGGATTGTTGTGTAATAAGGGGATTGTTGTGTAATCAGGGGATTGTTGTGCAATCAGGGATTGTTGTGTAATCAAGAGATTGTTGTGTAACCATGGGATTAATGTGTTACCAGGGGATTGTTGTGTAACCATGGGACTAATGTGTAACCAGGGGATTTTTGTGTAACCAGGGGATTGATGTAGGGGATTGATGTGTAACCAGGGGATTGATGTGTTACCAGGGGATAGTTGTGTAATCAGGGGATTGTTGTGTAATCAGGGGATTAATATTTAGCCAAGGGATTGATGTGTAACCATGGGATTGATGTTTAACCAGGGGATTGTTGTGTAACCAGGGGATTGTTGCATGTAACCAGGGGATTGTTGTTTAACCAGGGGATTGATGTTTAACCAAGGGATTGTTGTGTAACCAGGGGATTGATATGTAACCAGGGGATTGATGTTTAACCAAGGGATTGTTGTGTAACCAGGGGATTGTTGTGTAACCAGGGGATTGATATGTACAGCTCCAGTCCCCTGGCTGTATTAGAATGATATGTTGCAAGCATGCTCCCCACACAAAGGATGTTCATATTTCATATGCTTGTAAAATGTCCTGTCTTATTCTTCAATTGACCTACTTGATTTGCACTGTTGCTTTTTTTAGTTTTTAATTTGTAGCTACAAGGATTTTCTTTGTTAGGATATCTTAATAGATGCTTAAATATGAAAACAGATTTCACTTTTTATTTTCCATTTTATTTTATTGATATTTAGTTTTTCCCACTTTTATAATTAGGTATTGGTTTAATTTTTGTTATTACAATGTACATACCCATAGTTTAGAATTTTATTTTTATTTTCTCTATAATGTTTCATTTCCACCATACAGTCTGAAGGTCGTACTAATTGTAGTAGTCACCTATTCTCTGTATGATATACTTTTATCAGCTTTGTACATATATTACACTTGGTCACATTGTTAAATATCACACACGAGCACATTGTTATACACTGTATGATAATATTTTTAGATTAGTTTCTGGTAAATAGGATAACTAATGTAAATGTATAACATGCACTGTTAATGGAATACACTGTACGATGAAAGGGTGGCTCACCTAGACTCTAAATAACAATCCTCATCACCGGCATCAGCATTATTTCTTAGGATGTTACTGCTGGTCTTGAACAAACGGATATCAGTTGTTCTTTTAATTTTCATTCTGTTTGAGATTTTGATGAAGAAATTAACTAAGTTAGAATTATACTATGCTAACTGTCAAACGTTAAATATGTTAAAATTATTCTATGCTAACTATCAAAAGTTAAATAAGTTAAAATTATACTGTGCTTACTATCAAAGTTAAAATTATACTGTGCTTACTATCAAAAGTTAAAATTATACTTTAACTATAAAAATTTAAAGAAGTTAAAATTATACTATGTTAACTATCAAAAGTTAAATAAGGTAAAACTGTACTGTGCTAACTATCCATGGTTAAAGTCACTAACTCTATCCTAAGTTGAAGTTATAACAGTGCTGGCTATATTTGGTTAAAGTGATAAAAGAGTATGGTTAAGTCTGTACTAGAGTGGTCTTCTATGTCAAACTATACCAGTGCTGGCTGTATCCTAAGTTATAGTTACACCTATGATAACTACCAGTATCCTGGGTTAAAGTTATACCTGTGCTTACTAACCATGGTTAAAACCAGTGCTAACTATTCTATGTTAAAGGTATATAATTTATGTGCTAACTGTCCATAGTTAAAAGCCATACGCGTGCTACCTGTATACGTGGTTAAAGCTTTACGTATGATTATAACTAGTATCTTTGGTACAAGTGTATCTGTGCTTACTAACCTTGGTTTAAACCAGTGCGAACTATGTATCTGTGCTTACTAACCTTGGTTTAAACCAGTGCTAACTATCCTAAGTTAAGGTTATATCTGTGCTGACTGTATCCACAGTCAAGGATGTCAAAAGTATTGTATTATACAGATACATTGTATTATGTTGAAGTAGTTGCCAGGTTTGTAGTAATGGCAGCTGCTTAACGACCATAGCATTTTTGGTAGAGTGAAAACAATCAGGGTTCTAAGAACCTGGACAGGTGATGGAAGTAGCTAGTCGCATCAAATATATGAGATACCTGGGGGCCGTGTCATGAATTTCTGTATTTTAAACATTTTTGCTAGCCATTTTTCACTCATTAGGAGAAACCAGTATACAAGTTTATCTTGGCTTCCCTGCTATAACATGTGAATATATAATTATCTATAAATGTGTAAAAATATTTTTGCACTGCATAAATATGATATGACTGGCGAAAGGACATACGGTTTAGTCTTATGCTAAGGTACAGGTTACATTATAGATATGGTGTAGTCAGATTCTTATATGTACGATGGATGCAGTATAAATTTGTTGTGATAAGTGCCAATTCAATCTAAGTGACATGAAATCTTCTCTTTGCAGCCGATGGATAACAGGGATGAACCTAGTTTGTACCGGCCTGTTTACATAAACACTTAACTGGTTAGTTAGTAAATTGAATGGTGGATGAATGGCTTGAGGTTAGACATTTTGGTTTAGTTATTTCAATTCATTGATAATTTGACATTATATTTTTGATTCATGACTGTCATCTACATTGTGTCATAGTTCAAATGTTGTTGAAATGAGTAATTGTCCAGGAAATTGGAAAATATGATCAAACTCATATAATTTGTTTGGTAAATGTAGACAAAATCTACATCTACAGGTATTTCAGTGTTGTACCTATCTCCCTTAGTTCTACATTTCATTTTGTACTTTTTTAAGTCTATTGTTATCAGCCCACATAACGCTGGTATCGATCTGTTATTTACTAAGAAATACCTGTGCACTATGTATTGCTCTAGGACTACATAATACTGGCTTCTTTTGCTATATTTTTTCCTTACAAATATCTGATACCTATTTTTGTTATTCACCTGAAAAGTACTACTTTTTAGTCCACATAACACTAGTATATTTGTTATCAACCCCCATAATATTAGTACCTGTGTTATCAGCCCATAACATTATTACTTGTGTTATCAGCCCATAACATTAATACCTGTGTTATCAGCCAATAACATTAGTATCTGTTATCAGCCCATAACATTAGTACCTGTGTTATCAGCCCATAACATTATTACCTGTGTTATCAGCCCATAACATTAGTACCTGTGTTATCAGACCATAACATTATTACCTGTGTTATCAGCCATAACATTGGTACCTGTGTTATCAGCCCGTAACATTAGTATCTGTATTATCAGCCCGTAATATAAGTATCTGTGTTATCAGTCCACAAAACACTTATATCAGTAGTGTTATCAGCTCATTTAACACTTGTGTCAGTGTTATCAGCCCACAAAACACTGGTATCTGTTATCAGCCCACAAAACACTTGTATCAGTGTTATCAGCCCACAAAACACTGGTATCTGTTATCAGCCCACAAAACACTGGTATCTGTTGTTATCAGCACATAAAACACTTGTATCAGTGTTATCAGCTCATAAAACACTTGTATCAGTGTTATCAGCCCATAAAACACTTATATCAGTGTTATCAGCTCATAAAACGCTTGTGTCAGTGTTATCAGCCCACAAAACACTTGTATCAGTGTTATCAGCTCATAAAACACTTGTATCAGTGTTATCAGCCCACAAAACACTGGTATCTTGTTATCAGCTCATATGGAACTATTATCTTTGTTTACAACAGTGTTTTTGTTAAAGACCCATATAACATGATATTTCAACTAGTGCTGTGATAAATTATGATGCATAACTGTGTAGATCTGAATTGTTTTGAATCTTGGTCATCTACCACTTCACCCCTCCCCCCCCCTCCCTTACCTGGTGTTGTAAATTATACATAAACTTGTATAGGATATTGTCATATTTTTTAAGTGTGAAAGTTATTCTGTAAATGTCATAATTTGGTATCAAATGTTTGTATCTTGAACTATTCAATGTGGTAAACTGAGCAAATTCTATGTATTTTTACCTTCTTAATAATCTTAAATGCACATCTTTTATCGGTCCCTGCCAGTTACACTCATCCTGTGTTGAATTTTCCTACCACTGATGACGATTTAGTTCTACTTGTGTTTTCACTACCACATACTCTGAAGATACTTTGGGAATGTGTCAAATTATTACTTTTTTTGTTATGATCTGGGCCGTTTTCGTTTAAACGGTTAAACTGGTCGGACCACAGTTATTCGTTTATTGAATAAGGCCGGACTTAGTAATCTGATGCTGCTTTCAGGCGAGCCTTGACAAAGCCTTGCAAGGCCTGCATAAACATTTGCAGGTCTGCCGGGATTTAGACCCGAAATTGTTACATTTATAAACGGTCAAACCGGTTGTTCTGCATAAACAAACAACCCCCAGGACTTGTGAGGTCACAGTCTGAAAATGTGTGTCATATGCTGGAAGACCATTTTAGCGTGAGGTTCAACTGATTCATATGTCTTATATAAGTTCTGTTGAAGTGCAACCATTGTGTGTATTGGTAGTATGTAGTAAAGAATAATTGGTATAGATATTCAGGACAAATGTGTCATGCATTCCGTGATACATATCTTCTTGTAATTGACTCAAATGTGAAGTGTGTTAACATTAATAACCCTTTCACCACTGTAGACCATAATGGACTCATCCATATCAATGCATGGTAGAGTCTACTCAAGATACATAGGGGTGAAAGGGTTCGGAATAAATCATATAGTTTCAAATTCTGCATTTCTTGCCAATCACAGATATTAATTCTGTGAATGCCTTTAGACATGCAATAAAACAACCATTGATATAAAATTAAAAAATGTCAAAAGCATGTACGTGTGCCCTGGGTAGAATTTTAGGTGTAGACATCGTCCTTATTATATTATTGTATGAAATTACACATGTTTGTGGTTTAATTTTATTAATATTGAGATTTAATACTATATAATTAAAAAACGTTGAAGGAAAATATTTTGCTGGGAGACATAAGTGAACTAGAGTGATAAAATAAAACCAGTTACTACAAGATGTGAATAGAACCAGTACTACAGTTGTGGGACCGCACAACGCACCAAAAACAGCGTGCGCACACCGTGCATACATCGTTTACACACCGTCCGCACATCGTCCACACGNCATACACCCTAACGTCAATGTGTGTTTCTACCAGTTTCTACGTGTATGTATACAACCTAACATGAATTGATGCTTTAACTATTACACCTATTCTGTCCCAAAACGTGTTTCAGTTTAGTCCCCACCATGGCCTTGCAGTAGTCTATATTAAAAACATGTTTCACTTTATTTTAGTAAATACAAACTTTATTTATTTTACAACAATTATGAAACAAGGTATTTCAGCTTATATTAATCACTCTTGGTGGCCCGAATGTTAGTGCACAGTGGGGTTTTAATGCGGGAGGAAACCAGAGTACCCGGAGAAAACCAATGTTGTCGGGCAGGTGACCCCATACCTTTTGACATTGACCTTGGAATCAAACCCCGGCCGCCTTGGTGAAAGGCAAGTGCGCTATCCACTGCGCCACCCGACCACCCATATAATTATTAGATGTAACATATCAGTTTGCTAATATCTATAAAATCTCCAATATTACCAGTATTTGACTGTTTGTCACTGAAATATATGGATATAGCAAGTAAAGTAGTCCCATTGAATTCAGATCTCCTAGGATTAACTCCACGTTGGTAAGCTGTGTACTACTATCCGCTGTCAGTGAGCTATTCAATGTCTGGATTATTTTGCCACTTGTCCGGTCTACAGTATACAATTCTAGGTCTCGTCTGCAGCTACGGTACCCATGTTAGAAGTCTTTAAATGTATATATATATATATTTACCGGGTATATAGTATTATGTTCTCATAGTCCGGTAGATATATGAATATGAAAAGATACAAAATCAGAAACGTGTAGATATGTAAAGCATTATAGCGCTTTCATTATCAACATTTTATTAATGACGTCATAACTTGTATATATATGTACTGTAGCTGTGTGTAAAACGTCTGCAGATTGATAATGAAAGCGCAATATTGATTTACAGATCTACGTGTTTCTGACTTTTGAACTTTTCAGATTTGTAATAAAGACCTTCATAAACAGGACCCTGTCTATAAAGACTCCTTTCTTCCTCTGCTTTGTTGAACAGTTTTTACCTTAAAAGTATTTCAATATGTTTTGTTACCAAAATATGAACAGTATTACTTTGGGGACTGACATGTGCCTACTTAACTGGCTTTAGGGCTCATTTTATGAGACAACTACGGTGTAGTTCAGAATTTTCTTAAATATCTGATTTGTTTTCCATTTACCTGAGCTACTAGGTAGCTCGAAGTATGATAAAAAAAAATGACAAAGTATGTTTTTGCTTTTGAATTCAGATTAGCCTTACATGTAGAGCTGCATTTTTGCTTATTGTTTTGACTATCGTTAACTGTTAGGCCTGGTATGGAATGTTCGATAGAAGACATTGTATAAGTTGATATGGAAGTAGCGTTGTGGATGTTGTGGAAATAATGTTGTGTAATCTTGTTGCTTTGTTATATGAAGAATAGGCAAAATATGTGTAAGAGGACAAGTGCCTCTTATTAATTTATAATCTTTACGGAAACAGTATTTTTGGGAATGTTTTATTTTCAGGGGCCTCGAAAAACGTAATAGAAAATATCAAGTTTATTATAAAAACAATCTACTGTAGGAGAGTAAATCAGGAAAGAAAATCGGAAAAATCATTGCAAGTATAATGATTATTATTTGTAGAATCAGTTATTGACAGTATTGACACAACAATCGATTCGTCAGACTTTTTGAGCAACAAGGTATTATTACATGTGTTCGTAACAAGTTGTTGTATCGTCCATATATATGTATCGCAAGTACAATCACAAGACTAACGTCAGTGTCGCTCCAGAGCGTAAAGAATTGATTACCTGCGGGAATCGTAGCTTCTAGGTCCGATTTAATTAATTAATTTCAAAATTTCTTATATTTATCTTGAAATTTTACGTTATCAGACCAGATCCCTATGATGTAAAACTTCAGAATAAAACATTAAAATTTTGAAAATAAAATAAAATTGATTGGACCTACAAGCAAGTTTCTGCAGTTAAGAATTGATGAACACCGTATTAATTGTTTGGTATATGTTTGTGTTCCCTAGTACACATATATTTGTGTAAAATTGGAACAAAGTCCAATGCTTCTAATTTAGGCAATGTATTTATATGTTATACAATGTTATATGCAAGAAAAAATTGTTATAATGGGATGCTTGCTTGAAACACAGGGATAAACCTTTTTTTATTGAAAGATATTTTATTAAAAATAAATAATCAAAAGGAAAATTTGTTGTCTTTCTATTTTTTAAACAATTCTTGTGTTGCCTGCAAAGCCAAGTCACTATAAAGTGATTAAAGTTGAGTTATTATTTGGACAAACTTGATAGCCTCTTTCTTGCCAACATGGCAAGCAACAGGCTAAATATCGTGACTTTGTGCCTTATTCTTCTGTAGAAGAAGTAGTTCAACTGAAAAAATTGATAAGGGATCATCATGCATACTTGCCAACTCTCCCCATTTTCGAACCTATAGATCTGCTGATTTCATCTAGAAAGAACAACTCAAAAGATGCCATTTAAAAGAATTGTTTTCCCCTAGGGTTTATGTACATACATTTTATTATGCTTTTAATTCTGAGCACATGCAATCTCCCCCATGGAAAGTTTAAACAGTTGGCAAGTATCCGGATGTGGCCCCATCACATGTCTCCGAGTTCACAGGCAAAATGCAGCAACAGATCATTGCAATGGACCATGCTTGTCTAAACACTTTTCCAAGTTTATAGCACAGTTGTATGCCGTTGTATTGTGATATTATATTAGACCCTCTTGATTTCCATGTTTAAATAGCAGTGTGTCACATATGAAAGCCTTGTTCCAGTAGGTTTTCATACAACAGATTCATCATTTGAACAGTTCAATGACAGCAATGTATTTTTTTTATTGGAAGGTCAGCTTGGCATGTTCAACCAATATTTGAAAACGAATTTGTATTCAGTGCTAAAATGTTCAGATTTCCAAGTTAAAAATATGGGATGTCGATATAGTTGTTGATAAAACAATGAACAAAGCTGAGAAAAATGTAAAATTTTATTTTGAATACATATTCACAAGGTGCGTATTTCGCATACATAAAAATAAATGCGAGTAAAACTAATCGTAGTTGGTTGGTTGCATACAAAGCTCTTGGTCACCTGACACTAAGCTCAAAAACTTGATCATTATGTAATGTAGGTAAAACTAATCGACCTGTTCATCGGTGATGTTCAAGGTCACACCAAGGTCAGTATATAAAAGTGAGGTTACAGACTTGTCAATCGATACATTTACATGTTATCAGAGCCCCCAACAACAGGTTCATTATACAAAGGATTGGCTATAAGTCGAACCACAAACCATCCACGGCATGTAACAGGTTTCAAAAATTACAAGCAAATTAAAATTTGTCCTTCACAAATAAATTGTGGAAAGTGACTGGTAGATAACGGTAACGACGGGAGATTGGGAGAGGGCGACATGCTATAATGTTATATCAGTATGACTTTGCTGTTCATCATATCAAATCGGCATGTTTATCACATTAAATGGCAAGGCTGAAAATATTAATTGTAGATACATGCAGTGATAAATCCAACATACAACAAAAAAAAAAGCCCATAGGCTTAAGTAAAATAGCAGTCATCTAAATAAGTACAAGGTTTTAGTACAAATGGAATTTTGATAAACCTTTGCAACTTTTATATGAAAATAATTTGGTTGTGTGA